GTAATGCTCAAAAAATACTTGTCTGTAGTTCTGGTTTGATGTAATACGATTTTAATGTTTTTTTTTTTCATTTAATTATGTGGAAGTATTTTTACCTATATCTTCTAAATGGATGTAGTTTTTCTATTACATATATGTGTATAATAATGAAGGAATATTTCTCAGACTTTGTTAGTTTCCTAGTTTTAATATTTGGAAAGTTTCTTTATGAACTCACAGAAGAGAAGCACTTTTAGTACAACAGTTTCTAACATTGAAATAAAATCATAATGATTAAAAATTACTAAAATATAGATAATCATTGCAATCGACACCTATTCATTATTTAAAAAAAAAAAATTAATCAAACATTTAATTAGTACGCTCCTAAAAAAAAATTATAATAAAACTTGCTAAATTCCGCTTAAAAACTTAATAATTCAGTCCTTTTTCATTCAGAGTGTGTGGTGTTCTGAAAAAGGTTGTCGTGTTTTGTTCGTGGAAGTGCGTGGGTGGTGAACTAGCATCGATCTGAACGGTGAACTTGAAGGTCGTTGACATCATTTTCCCTTCATGGAAATTATATATATACTATTTATTTTTTATATTAATATATAATTATTATGGCTGCAGTCTCATATCCTTACTAATATTATAAATGCGAAAGTAACTCTGTCTGTCTGTCTGTTACGCTTTCACGCCTGAACCACTGAACTGATTTTAATGAAATTTAGTACAGAAATAGAGTTGACCTTGAGAAAGAACATAGGATAGTTTTTGTCCCAGACTTTTGAAAGGCTCTCTTGGAAATGCGATATAACCGAACTCCACGCGGGCGAAGCTGCGGGCGGAAAGCTAGTATACATATAAAAGAATAATATTCTCTAAGCGTATTTAGCATAAAGTTATATGTACGATGTATGTACATAGTATAAATTTCGGTTGAAATTACATGCAGAAGATATTTTCACACACATATATGATTGTATGTATATATGTATCTACAATACCCAAAAAATGTAATAAACAACACCGGATTTAATTTACCATAATACCTTTTGATTATACATATAAGTTTTTATCATTTTTGTTTTGAAATCTTTCATCAATGAAAGACAAAAAAATTCATATTAATATAATTATCTAAAGATTTATAAAATATATTTTCATATGGTTCATCCCCGTCAGTATGATTTTTTTACAAAAAGCCAACAAAATGGCAATCTATGCATTAATTTATTCTAATTAATTTAATGATAACACATTGATAACCTAAATTGATAACAGCTACATATGATAACAAAAAGGTCGAATATTAGGATCGAGACCGTACGAATTTATCTTACCACACGTGCCGATCCTCGCACGCGATGCTATTAGTTGAGGTGTATCAAGAAACTGGGAAACAGGAGGACCTGTAGTTAAAACAAACATAGAATAAGCGTTAACATATCAAAATTTGGCTATATTGTCAAAATCATATATTAAAAAAAAACTTTGACATAATAGTCACGGTATTCGATTTTGACAGCGCTGACGTTGACGTTAAAGTAATCCATTTTGATTTTGAATAGAATAATTATTATCATTAGATAAAATCATCATAGAAGATAAATATACATAAAAATGCATTTAGGTCTTATAGTTTTCCTATATGAGATACAAAATTTCTATAGTCTAGTGTTATAACAAGTTGTTTTATAGGAGTATTTTTAATAGGGTCAAAAATAAAACAATTAAGCGAAACTAATTACAAACGTTTTACCCACATCATTCCAGTATTAAAAAATACTGAATTTTGTTTACAAAAACTTTAAAAAAGATTATTATCTACTTATTTTATATTAAAATACTAGAAGACCTGGCAAACTTCGTATCGTCCTATAATCAAGAAATATCTATTACGTTTTTTTATTTATATTATTGGAGTTTACTTGTAAGCCATAAATCTCCGTGTTTTAAATGCGACAGAATGATTGACATATTAGTTAGTTGTCAAATCTAATGTCAAAAAAAACGTTTGTATGGGAAATAGAAAAGGGCTGTTTTTATGGTTTTTCCAGTAATGAATCAATTTTTTTCAGCTTTTATACCTTCCCTGAACCTCCACGACCATTTCAAGACTAAGATAAGATAAATCCGTTCAGCTATTCTCGAGTTTTAGCGAGACTAAGGAACAGCAATCCATTTTTATATATATATAGAAGATTGATCAATGTGTCAATTTTTTCCAATATAATATGTAGTTATGAATTAATAAATAATATTTACTTGTTTTTACTCACTTATTTTCAGCAACTTAAAATTTGACTAGAATAAAATTTACATATTTAATACTATTTTCTTGGTAAATATATAACAATTAATATACATTCGTCTTTTAAGATATAGTTGGAGATGAACATATTTAGACGTTTGGATAATTTTTGATTCTATTACACATAAATTTAAGACTGATTATTACGTCTGTCTTAATATTTATTATATATATTGATGATATGACTAGGGAATCCCTTATAGAGGCTGTCTAAGACTTGTTATAAATGAATGCTCGGGAGTGCGTTACCCTAGAAAGTTCTATAAGAAAATGAAAGTAATTCTCGTCTTGTGCTGACTTTTTCCTTTCAATGTATGAAGTGTGTGAAACTATCGTCATACTTGTGTTGTATGATATTGTCACTGTGTTTAATGGGCTGCAGGATATTAATATATGTACGAGCAGATTTCAATCTATTAATTATATACTCAAGTGTGTGTGTGTGTGTGTGTGTGTTATGTAAACACTATAGCATGTATTCGTGTTTGTATACTATCTATGTAATATTAGTATTTTAATTTGAAAATAAAGACTTGAAACAATTTTAAAGCTGCTAGATTATTTTATATGTATGTATAGCTCAAAGATTAGGTATGCTAAATTGTTTAGTATTTCGGCTATAATTTAGCTCAAAGCTTAGGTATGCTAACTCATTAAGTATTTGCTATAATTTATTTCACCAAAATTTTTACATCTTACTTTATTGACTATTGTTCAAGCATTTAAATTTTGTCACGTTTAGTAAACAGTACATAGAAATGATATGCTAATTTTTTATCAATATCAATAGTAGGTGTATTTAAAAATCCTTATCATTCAATCTTAAGTAAATTATTCTGAATCTTCACGTTGCATTTTTGATTTTTGTAAACAATACGTTTCTATGATTATGACATCTATGAAGACAAATAAAGGCGTAAAGGTCATTGCCCTCATAGAAATTAGTTACTATGGTCTTCATTAGAAAGGGTTTGAGTGAAATCCATCACATAAAATTTCATCTCATACATATCAAAGAAGTAAAGAACGAACGATACAAGTAATATTTGTTTAAAATCTTGACAGATTTAATAAACTTTGAATACATTATATTATGAGTCAAATGTAAGTCTTAAGTTTTCCTTCAACCATTACTAGTATTATACATTTCTTCTTTAGCATAATTACCTGACTTTGCTTACTTAAATAATCCATACCATCATTCTATACAAAATGTCATAAGTCGTTTTGTCTGTATAGAACTGATTCATTGGACGTCTGGCTAATTGGCAGTCGAGCGTTGCGAATCTTTCATTTTTTTTTTGTATTTCCAATTGTGTTACCAGATGACTATTTAAGCATTGTTTTTGCATTTCAACGATTAATTTCGAACTTATATCTCTGTATATCGTTATTATTTGATGTCTAAGTATATTAATCCCTACTAATATTATAAATGCGAAAGCAACTCTGTCTGTCTGTTACGCTTTCACGCCTAAACCACTGAACTAATTTTAATGACATTTGGTACAGACATAGAGTTGACCTTGAGAAAGAACATAGGATAGTTTTTATCCCAGCCTTTTGAAAGGTTCTCTTGGAAACGCGATATAACCGAACTCCGCGCGGGCGAAGCTGCGGGCGGAAAGCTAGTTAACAATAATTGATTTAATGTTAAGGTTGATTTAAACTTTACTATAGTACACTCTATATTTGTATTGATTTATTAAATTATACGCCAATAACTGAGGCCTCGATATTCGTCAAACTATTTTCTGTCTAATTCGTTTGATGACGTGTTCTCATCATTACTGTGTAAATTATTAGCTATTCTTTATATTTATCACATATTATGTAGGCTAACTACGAGTGTGATAATCAAAATTTAAGTAGCTTATAGTTTTTCATTAATAAATCTTCGTACATGATGTGTTAATTAAAATGTCAATAAAAATAAATGCTTAGCAAAAGTTATTTATGATATATTATTACTTGTCGTTATTAAAAATTATACTTAATTTTGATCTTCTTCGTCTAGTACAGTTTCAGTGTCAAAGCTGTCAATTTAATAGTTTACATTAACAAAGTATTGGTTTATAGAACGTGGACTATAGGTAGAATATTCTAGATGTGTACTTATCTGTTTGATTGTTACTAAATAACACATAAACTGTCCAATTTGTTTACATTTTTTTTATATAAATATAACTATAGGATTTTAGCTAGATAAGGTCATAATTTCTTTCGCAACAGCTGATCATTATGTGCAGTCTGTGAAATAAAGTGAAATTAATTGTTAAACCTAAACTGAAATATACAATGATTTACGAATCATAAAGCTCAGTTAATTATATAGACAATGTATCATCCGTACTAGTGGCATACTCTTTCAGAAACAGACTGTAACGTTTTTTTCTAATGAGCAAGAATAGAAATCAAAAGATGAGTAAGATCGCTAAGTAAGAATATGTTGTATTTATATTGATTTAAATGTGTCATTGGCTGAATATAGTATGCACATTGGCTGAATACATATTTTCATTAATAAAAAAAATTGATATTATTTTGACGTTTGACATTTGTCATAGATGCAAAACTAAATAAAGGTTTTTATTATACAGCCATAATATAAAAATATATGATTTCAGATTATTGAGAGGGCGTGAGGAGAGTGTCGGAGGGCGAAGGATGATCGCGGGTCAAACAGCACGCCGCGCCCGGCAACATGGCCGCCCTGTCATGCTACCAGCCGTGTCGCTCGCACCTAGCCCAGCCTGCTAGGTATTTATATTTACATTAGTTTCAGTTCACTGACGATAGATGGCGTTGATTGGTCTATTGCTATACGAGATTTAAATTTTGATGACGATCAATGTTTATAGATGACGTTGCTTTGGTTTTAGCTCATGAATTATTAGTTTAATGAATTTAAGATGTTACTTCTATTTCCGCCTTGTGATAATAATGGAATGCATTTCTTTTTACTTCTATCAAATCATGACTATCTAACATTTGTTCTAAAACCAATTTCTATGATGATTAACATCAGGTGTCTCGACGAAGACGATTACGAGCTATCATCGCTAACGATACGTAGGCGGCAGTTGATAGAAAGATGTCACGACACGAGGACGGGACGGAACAGGGACCACATACCTGAGGTGTCCGTCAAGAAGACGAGGGAGGAGCTGGCCAAGCATGCGGCGCAGAGCGCGCAGCTCGCGAGGAGGCTGAACGTGGAGTCTGGCTGGTCGAAGGTCGAGGAGGTCCGCAAGAAGTTCGAGGGAGCCGCGACCACCTCCTACTCACGGTCCTTTGAGTCACCGCCTAGGTAACTATACTTATACTAGCTTAACTCAACTACCTAGGTAACTTTACTCAAACTTACTCATACTAGCCGATATAAGCCATAAAACCAATATAAGACATCATCAGTGTATTCCTGGTCCTACATGTAAGTATAACTAGTCACTGTCTCACTACTACCCCGCCTAGAGCGACGCACGTCACCGTTCTGCTCCGCGCTAGTCGTGAGACTGTCGAACGCATGCCGACCCCTCTAGTGGGGTACGTGAGACAGTGTATTATATCTATTGTATACATACACTACAATCAGTATCAACATGTTTGGACCATTTCAATGGTTATATTTTAAAATATCGTGATAACCTAGTGGTTAAAGCCCCACCTGTTATGTATAAGGGCGCGGGTTCGAAACCTGGCAAGTACGTACGTGATTTTCCGAGACATGTACTTTCTATGACTATTTAGACACTACTGATATACGGTGAAGCAAACCAAAACATCGTGAAGAAACCTGGACTTTTAATTTCCAATTATAATTTTGAAATCGCCAACCCGTTTTGAGCAACGTGGTGATTAATGCTCAAATCTTCTCCATGTGATAAGAGGCCTTTGCTCAGCAGTGGGCTCTGATAGGCTGATAATATTTTTTTAATCCGCAGACGTCGTCTAGCAGACTCTCTGTTCGCAAGCTTCAAGCTTCCAAGAAAGAAGGAGATGGCTGCTCCCAGGTCGATAGTCCCGCAGCAGAAGAGGAAGTCGGCTGTGGAGCTGCTCGCGGAGACTAAGGCCTTCTACGTCAAGTCTGAGACTGTACTGGACAGGAAACAGGAACTACCATTGAGGGTAAGTGGAAGAAAAGTGGGGGGTAGAAGCAGATTTACCTGATTGAGATTTCAACTCGGTATAATACATGATGCGCACATTATGCTATGATATATTATCTATGAGCAACTTTTTTACAAGAAATAACAAATCTATCATAGATATATTTAAATGAAACTGATATTTTCGGATTTACGGACTACATACTCCCGAAGTTTCGGCTACTTTACAGCAACCGTGATCATGGCATTAATTAGTTTCATTAAAATGAGTGCTCGCGAAAATCTTAGATCTCATTATAGTTATATTTGCTAACAAATCCTGAATTTCTTTTGTGACGTTGTATGGAAAAGATTATGATTTAATATGCTGTTGTAAAACATAATACCTCTTTACCCAGGTGAGCAGTGGTCTTAGCCAGGCGATAGCGGCCGGCGGGTGTCATCTAGTCAGCTCGGGAACACTTGGCAATGAAGCCTGCTGTAACCCTTGTAAGACATTAACTTGCTTAAATTTTGTTAGAAAATGTATTTATATCTAATAAAATAAATGAATAAATCTAATGAAAAATGTATTTATTACGCGTGTGATAAGGTATAGAATTGTGTCTTCAACTCATATCATATTAAAATATTGTAACAGTAATGAAATTGATCAGCCATTTTGGTATATGCATGTACATTTTCCAAAACCATATATACATTTAATTAAATTTCCTATATATTTCGTATGTACTACGAAAGACTTCAATTTATATGGTGTAATAATTTGAGAGTAGTGGTAACATATACGGTATAATGTGACTATTATTATTATTTTTCAGATGCCACGACCCGTGTGACCGATCGCCGCCCTGTGTCCGGGGCAGGGGGAGGCGGGCTGCAGAACACGTTGAGGAGGTTACTGGAACAGACGGACAGTAGGGAGAACGTGTACACGCCCGCCTACATGAGTGAGTGACACACACACACACACACACAGACACACACAGAGACACAAACAGGACACGAGAATAACAAGTTTGGGAATCACTTAGTATACACATACATATATGTATACTTCTTCTTCTTCCTGGCAATTTCCCAGCTTTAGCCAGGGTCTGCCAAACACGCATATGTATACTAATATTATATATCTGAGGAGATTTTTGAACATACTTCACACACACACACATAAAGGAATTATGATTTCGACGGTCGGTGGATGCAATGAAACCAAAATTACTTGACTTAATTTAATTATAAAGTAAATTACAACTAGGGTTCGACTATGTTGCACAAAGGTTGAACAAATAGTGACAACATTCTACTTAAATTCTTCAAAGAAATATAAAACTAAAAACATAAAAGAAATATAAAACCAAAAACTGTCTTCACACGGAACTGCTGAGTCAGACCCGTGTACAATAGACGAGTTTACCCAGAAGCTAAGGCGTCCTCTGATTACACCGTATGAATATAATTATATTTTAATTAAACGACCACTTATTACACGGTTACATAACATCTTTATAATAAAATGGAAAAGTTTATTTGACCATTACAAAAGGTGATTAACAAGGCTTTCATTCAACAGATTTTGAGTAGATTTAAATGTCTAAACAGAAACATACTGTAACACACACAAACATGCACGTGAGGAAGTCCTCAGAGGCTTAAAATTATACAATATTTTAAATGAAAATATTGAATATTTATTTAATACTAGTTTTTGCCCGCGACTTCGTCCGCGTTAGTTTGGTCAAGAGGTATATATGTAGGTATAGCTGACCAGGCGAACTTTATTCCGTCTAAGCGGCCATAAATAATCAGGTTTTTCGTGTTTCAATCAAACAGAATGATTGACATATTAGTTAGTTGTCAAATCTAATGTCAAAAAAAAACGTTTGTATGGGAAATAGAAAAGGGGTGTTTTTAGGGTTTTCCCGGTAATAATTCCAATTTTTCTCACCTTTTAAACCTTCCCTGGACTACAAGAAGTATTTCAAGACTAAAATTAGGCCAATCGGTTCAGCCGTTCTCGAGTTTTAGCGAGACTAAGGAACAGCAATCCATTTTTATATATAGATAACAATGTGTAGTATTAAAATTCTTCATTAAAGTATATAACATCAACGTTATTTATACTATGTTCTTATCTATCATGATTCCAGCTCAAAAAATGTTCCCGGACAGCAGGCGGGTCAAGGACCCGTATCCCGAGCGTGAGTCCCGCTCGCAGCACACATCCGGTACGTTCTCCGGGACCTCCTCGTCAGGTACTTCCGGTTCCAAGCAGAGGTCCGAAGATAAATCCAGACCCTTGAGCTTCGGGGACGCGAGGGTGTTCTTCCCGGATTCCTTCGTCATCCCTCGCCAGAGACCCACGGAGGTCGTCATTAAGAACACATATTCTATACGTGAGTATAATATATTATTTCTCTTAAATTATCTAATATATAAAATTTCCATGTAACAATAATAGTTACCGTACTCTACGAAGAGCCTTTACCGATTTTTACCAAATTCATAAGGCCTGTAAATTGGCTACTATCTATTTGTCATACTCCCATGTCGGCGACGCAGCTGATGTTTAGTTAATAATAGATTTAAGAGAAAAGAAATGTAAGAAATAAGGAATTAGGCTAATATTTGTATTGTATAATTAATAAAAGGAAAGCGACTCTTGCAGGTGCGCAACACGTGTAAATAAAAATCCCTAATGAGCGTCTCTTGCAAGAGCGCAGTATACTATTGTCAAATTTAAGATAAACCTATTGACCAATAAACGAACGGCGGTAGGGTCACTTGGCGGGGGGCGGGGCATCCGCGCTGGCTCACAGCGGTACTAGGTGCGCGCGCGCAACGTATATAAAACATGGCCGCTGTGAGTCGAATAGTCAGTCGTCATCAGTCGTCGTCAGTCGTCATCAGTTGTCATCACCAGTCGTCATCATCAGCAATCACCAGCCAGATCTCGTGAAGACATCTCATACGCTTTGAAGAACAGTGAACAGTGAAGAACCCGAACAAAGAAGAACCGCGCTTTCAAGATAGTGACTAGGGACCACGTGGTCATACAAACCAAGTGATTCTGCCGCCATTACCTAACAAGTTGTGGTTTCATTCTAAAACGACGATACGACCCGCCACGAACACGGATCCCGAGGATCGGATCACCGGCCGCCTGCTATTGGAGGAATTATCATCCAATCCGATCCACCCCTCAAGCGGCGAACGATTCCGAACTCGATATTCGGACATCCCAACCGCAACACCCAAGTGATATGGATTGTTCACCCTTAAATTAATTTTTTTTAATGTATGAATGAAATCTTTTGTTCTTATTGTTTTATAATGTGTCATTAAAAATATAAACAACTCTAAATTTTTACTTCTTTATCACCACCCCCTATTTTTTTATATGGTAAAACATCGTTTGATGCGTCAGCTAGTATATATTTATATACATATATATAATTGTAATTGTATATTATTCCAGCGAGCCCTCAATCAAGTCCTCACACCAACGAGCGAGCTGACCTGGCAGCCATCTCTCCACCCGCTGAGTACGCTCACTCGACCCCGAGATATATAAGGTTAGACCTGGAACAAGTGGAACATATATGTAGAAACTAATTATATTGTACTGAAAACTTTAAATGTTCATTAATTTTTCTATTAACAAATAGGTGATAGTATCATCTAATTTTAATTGCCGACCCTACATAAAGTGGGACCAGGACAGGAAGAAGATAATCTAATTTTAATTAAATATGTAATGTTTTGCTTTAATAATATAGTAATATATAAATAATTATGTACTGTTTAATATAAAATTAAATTTTCGAGGTCCATATACACTGGGTGACTGGTGAATACTCGGTACATGATTCTCATTCGAATTATGTAACAAAATAGGTACTTAATTTTTGACCAAATTTCCGTATAAATAAATAAAGTGTGGACACGTTCCAAGGTTTCAAAATGTGGACGCGTGCGGCGGCGTGCTGACACAACACCACGCCGCCGCACGCGCGTGTGTGTGTATGTGTATACCTAATCTGTAGGGTGTTCACACGATGCGTAATTAATTACATAATTTTTGGTTAACTTTACTTAGAAGTTTATTGATATTTATGTTATATTAATTTTTATTTTGTCATATATGTCCACCAGTCACCCTGTATATAATTGATCAGTAATTATGCAACTATACATTAGTTTTATAATATATATGTATATATAATATCAATGTTATATATTCCAGATCAAACTCTCACTCCCAGCCGAGTGGTCGCGAGGACGAAGCCACTAACATAAACAGTCATAAATCACTCCCGGACCTGCATGCGCAGGCGCACATCTACCCGGAACAGTTAATATCTTGATACATTTTATTTGATATCCAACTTAATAAGTCAATAAATATGACTTTATAGTGATGGCAATTATATAAAAAAACTAGAAGACCCGGCGAACTTCGTATCGCCCTATAATCAAGAAATATCTGTTACATACGTTTTTTTATTTATATTTTTGGAGTTTACCTATTAAAGCCATAAATCTCCATGTTCTAAACTGCGACAGAATGATTAACATATTAGTTAGTTGTCAAATCTAATGTCAAAAAAAAAACGTTTGTATCAACAACTACTAATAAATTAAAAATTAATTAACAAAAACATTGTCCAGCGGACAAAATTGTGAATCTAATCCAGATCCCCATGAACACACACAAAAAAATTCATCAAAATCGGTCCAGTCGTTTGAGAGAAGTTCAGTGACATACACACTCACAGAAGAATTACATATATGTTTATTATTTTATATCCAGAGTGAACGTGGTGGTTAGCGCGGAGGGCGCGGGCAGGTCTCCTCGCAGGAGAAGACACTCGGCTCATCACAGAACAGCATCATGCTCCTCTAAAGGAACCAGGTAAAGACTAACATAATATATAGTATAAAGATAATAATATATATACATAGGGGACATAATCTAAAGATACTGTAACGTTATTGAATAATAGATATAAAGATATAGAATATATAAACGAAGGTTTAAAAATAGTTGTATTTTGAATAAAACCTAATTAAAAATATATATACAGATTTCAAAGGTTTTGATAGTATTATGTATGTATATGTTATTTTATATATGTGTGTATGTTAATTTTTTCGATATTATTGTGTGAATGTTGTAAGTGGTGACAGTGTATGTCTGTTTTGTCGCAGGTCGAATCATTCTTCCCTGATGTCATCGTGTGACGCCTTCTCCGAACATCCGTCGCCCGAGGAGAACTACCAGTCATATAACAGGTGAGGCTAAATAACGTGACATTCTTAATTAATACATAGAATTGTCCTAAATAATGTACTAAAATATGTATTGTAATTTAAGTCAGTCGTGGCCTAGTGCTTAAAAAGCCCGCCTCTCATGCACGAGGGCGCGGATTCGATCCTGGCCCTGGCAAGTACCAATGTGATTTTTCCGAGTCATATGTACTTTCTAAGAGTATTTAAACATTACTGATTAATGCATTCCCAAAGAGTCGTAAAAACAATTAGCCAAAACTATTCACTTCATGTAAGGCAGACCCTGGCTATAGCTGGGAAATTGCCAGGTAGAAGAAGAATGTACATATGTATAAAAAATATTAATTACGACTACCTACAAATACTTCCATATGATAATGATGAAGAATTAAATTGCGTATGAATTCTTATGTTTCTTGTATATAATATTAAACAAAGTCTTGTTCTCTATGTAAATTATTAAGAATTTGTATCACATTTAAAAACTAGGTATACGTCGCGTCAATACCATTCAAATTTATGTTTATAAAGAAGTGAAAAATAATAATTATAATGCAATTTTAGCCTCATAATAGAGAATACATCCTACTTGTCCCAGGTTCGAATTCAAGTCGTGTATATATGTGTTCGTAATATAATGTGTTGTTTGTTGATTATTGTTCAGTCGCTGCGGTTCTTCGTTCGCACGAGACTCGGGCGGCTCTAGCGGACACTACACGCAGAGGAGCGCCCCGCCTCACGCACACCACGACAGAAACAGGCATGTGTACACACACACACACACACATACACGCAAATTGATATACACACATACCCATTATTGTGTGTATGCGTATATATGTACTCACTCATAGATAAATTAACACTTGCCATCACCAATCAGTATAAATTTTATTATAAACAAATTATAGTAGTAATGGTTACAGACGATTTATAAAGTAAATAGAATTGTTGTTATCAAACAGATACAATTTGAATTAAGAACAAAATGACATCTGTCATTTGCTTTTGAATATATTTAATCATAGAACGTCATTCAAAAGAGGTTCTAATAAAGAGTATGTATATATATATTTCAGGGGTTACAGTTATCACACCAACAGCGGTAGTACCCTGGAGCAGTGCTACGTGTCCGCTCCCCCCCAGTTCCAGGACGGGGCGCCGTCCCCCCCTCCGCCGCCGCCGCCCCCCTCCGCGCCGCACTACACCCCCGCAGCACCCGCGGGGGGACACGGCGCGCACCCCCGGGTCGGGATACACTTCCAGGTGAGACAACGTATATAATAATAATAATAAGTCATTTATTGTCAGTTTAAGTCAGTGGTGGCCTAGTGGTTAAGGCCCGCCTCTCGTTGCCGAGGGCGCGGGTTCAAACCTGGCAAGTACCAATGTGATTTTTCGGAGGCATATGTACTTTCTGAGAGTATTTGGACATCACTGACATGCGGTGAAGGAAAACATCGTGAGGAAACCTGGAATTATAGTTTCACAATTATAAGTTTGAAATCACCAACCCGTGTTGAGCAAGCGTGGTGATAAATGCTCAAACCTTCTCCATGTTATAAAGAGGCCTTGCTCAGCAGTGGGCTTCTGATAGGCTGATGACATTTATTTTCTCTCTTCGCAAAATACTTAATACACAAATAGACATCTTATATAAATAGATATTAGTGAGAGACTGGAGCCCATGATGGGTATAGGAATACCTGTATTACAGGTCTCCAAAATTATTATAGTATGATATGACATTTGTCATTTGACTGCAGTCTGTATTTAATCTATGCTTTTTATCTTTTTTTTTGTTTTAAGCTTGCATTGCTTGAAATATGCCAGTCATGTACTCTAACTAGTCTTGTTATTTTCCTTTACACAAATTTACTGCTTATGTACTTATCTGAATTTATAGTGTGTGTATATACAAATATTGTTAGTTGTTATATACAATGGCATATATAATTAATATTTTTAAAATGATTTTTCTTTATAAGAACTATAGTAGTATAATAATAGTAATGTAATCTATATATATAATTCCCAGGCCAGCGCGCCCCCTCCCCAGTTCCAAGACGAGCCGCTGTACGACTACAACGGGTACGACTACGACTGTACGTACAAGACGCCGCTGAAGTGTCTCACGGGCACTCCGCCACGCAAAGAATATACTAGGGAATACTCCAGGTATTACATGTGACAGAATAGCCAAACTACATACGGATAGATTACAAGTTTTAATTAATTAATATTTGTACATGACATCAAAGCATTTTCATGGAAGAAAATTTGCAAGTTTGTGTTAATTTTCCATATAAACTCGTGATCTTATTAAGTTTTCGAATATAACAACCGAAGACGCTTAAAAAGCTTAATATGAAAATTAATTCTTTGTCAAAATGAAGCTTAAATAGTTTGTCAATACATGTCTTGTATTTATCATTCGTATCATATACTTAATTCTTGTAATTAACAAACTCCATAAACGAAGATATGTTTTATTATTCTTATGAAATTAACAATCGCTTTAAACTGCTTGAGATTTTTAACAAAATACACTACCTATTCGTTACAAAAACTGATAAAATTAAAGGATTGAAGCTTTTCTCAATTTTTATTGAATAACTAAGAATGTTCCTATATATTATTTATCTATATATATTGATACATCAGATATCACGAGCCAAGCACGGAGTTGATCAGCAAGCAGCCGCAGTACCAGGAGTCGAGGATGAGGCGACTAGACGAACAGCAGCAGTACGTCAACATTGACGCTAGAAAGGTGATACGACAACCAAACAAGATAAATTATGTAAACATTGCAGATTGTCTTCAAAGAAAAAGGGATCTGTAATCTCACACTTTAAATTAAGGAATTAATAATACGCCTTCACGCGGTCAAGTAAACCAAAAACGACTTTCTAAATAATTAGTCATATGTATGAAAATATTTACATCTCAATTATGATTTCGACGGTCGGTGGATGCAATGAAACCAAAATTATGACTTAAATTTAATTATAAAGTAAGTTACAACTAGGTTTGCGACTATGTTGCACGAAGGTTGAACAAATAGTAACAATAAATCTAATGAAATTCTTACAAGAAATATTATAATCTAAAAACATAAAAGAAATATAAAACCAAAAACTGTCTTCACACGGAACTGCTGAGTCAGACCGGTGTAGAATAGGCGAGTTTACCCAGAACCTAAGGCGTCCTCTGATTACACCGTATAAAGATAATTATATTTTAATTAAACGACCACTTATTACACCGTCACATAACATCTCTCTCAATATTTCGTGATTTTGTTAAAAACAACTTCAAACATTTGTCTATTTAATTTCACAAGGAAATATAGTGCGCTCAGTTTTATTAATTAAAACAAGAAGAAGAAAATTATCCAGTAGAAATTTCCCTTTTTGAATAATATATATACATATATATGGCTTTATAGATTTTGTTCACATATGATCATGATAGACATTGTGTTATACTACTACAATTTACAAATTTCTTGTTTAAAATAATAATACTATAATTTTAAAAATTATTTATAAATTATGTTTTTGCTTGGCCTAATGTACATATATTTTCATATGACGTATTAATTGTGGACGAGGAATTTATCTGCAGGAAAGTCTCCAGTATAATATGTATAATGCGTGTTCCAGATGTGTCCCCCCGAAGAGGCGACTTCGCCCCTCGGAACATTCAAACGGCAGCGGTGTCTGAGATACAAACAGAGACGACCTAGACCCATACTGAGGTCCAAGTCGGATATATCAGACAGGTACGGACAATAATATACCTTGAATATATAACACTTAAATTACAATGACATTATTCACATATTCTTAATTGTTAACCCGATAAACATTATTATCCTCAATGAAACGAACTTAATAGTTTATTCTTATTGTATTTATGTAACTCTCATATGACTTTTCAAGTCGGTAGATTTCGCATAAAAAACTTGTTTCGAAATCGCTTTACAAATAATGTGACTCACATATTAATTACTGTGTCATCTCTATCGAAGCTTGTAGTATAATACCAATAGTAATATCTTTCTATCACACTCTGTATATGTGATTCATTGTCTTCATCAGATACAAACTTTAGGTGGTAGAGCCTAGCTGTAGTTTAGTTACTACAGCTCGAACATGGGCTGGCTCGACCGGGGAAGTACCACCCTCTCACTGAAGATCGACGTCAAGTAGCCTTAGTGGCTGCGTTTCGTCCGATAAGTGAGAGAGCCGGTTGCCCTTTCCCTATTCTTACCCTTTCCTACCATTCCCTAATTCCGACCCTTCCCTGTCCCTTAAAAAAAACAAGCTAGGCGACGCATCCGCAACAAAGATGTTGCGGATGTCCATGGGCGACGGTAACCATCTTCCATCAAGTGGGCCGTCTGCTCGTTTTGCCAAGCTTCACATAAAAAAAAATATATTCTATTGTTTCAGATACCGTCGTACAGACGGCCGTAGTCCCTCATCAGCTCCGTGCGAGGTATCCCCCAGCAGTCCGTCCGAGGGCTCCGGTCGCCTGCACAGGTTCTTCGACTACCTCGGCCTCGAGTCCCGTCAGTACGAGGCGCTGTTCAACGACGCTGATGAAGACAGCCCCGTGTTCTTCTCATCCGCATCAACTGTTGATTCAAACCAGGTCGCAGCGGCTGCTGACTATACTGTGAGTGGAAAATTATATTACACTTCAATATACATATATTGAAATACAGTATATTTGATTTAAGCTGAGCTTTGCATTTGTGTGAGTGCACACGGATAGTCTAGGTGTGATGTAAAATTTTTGAATGCAACGTTCTTTTCTAGTTTTGAACCAGTTTATTCTGCTTTCACTCCGCCCCGCACCTTCCTCACTTCACGCTTTGTGCTGGTAGCAAAATCAAATGTTGAAAACGCAATGTCAAGTGAATAAGAATTTGTATAATTTTTCAAAATTTTTATTAACCTATAATTTTTTTCCATAATATTCATAATATTTCTATTTGGTATTTTACAAGTTTTGCTTATTTTATAGCGCTTATGTTATGTATCTATATAAAATATAATGAAATTGAATTCTAAAAGTTTTTTGTCTAACTTTACTTTCACTCACACAAATGCAAAGCTCGGCTTAAGTCTAACGGACTATATTTGAAGTCATTTGATTTCTTGTAAGTCAAATTATGTTGTTGTTTTTGTAATGTTTTTCAATCCTAAACTATATAAGATACCTCCCAAGAATTTAAAAAGTTGACAATTAGAATTTATTTGTTATTGATTGCATATTGTCTAATACGTTCTGATAATCTTTTTATATAACCCCACTGAATTATTTCTTTTCAATATTATGAAGTGGGTTCTTTAAATGAGAGCTTTTACAAATACAGAGTGCACCATGCATAAAGCCAGTCTTGTTCAAAGTGCAGTGTGTTGTTCACATGTTACTAAATAAAAGTAATTATTTTGGGGAAGATCTTCACAGACTCACCAAATAATTAATTTACTTGTTTTTACGAAAATGAAACATCACATAAATATAAAAATTTCCAGGTACAAGGTCCGGGTGTACAGAAACAAATATATCGCAATACGGAGCCGCCCAGCGTCGTGGAGAGAAACGCTAGGATCATTAAGTGGCTGTGTCAGTGTCGGAAGGCACAGATACCACCGCCTCAATAGATTGACAGATGACAGCTGACAGGTGACAGCTGACAGGTGACAGCTGACAGGTGACAGCTGACATGTGACAGGTGACAGTGACAACAGAAAGAATGACCCCCACAGACCAAGCTGCCAAATGAGAATCATAAAATGATAAACATTCATACTTACACAAACCAGTCTGGCATACATTACGGTAAATGAAATATTATTTTGAATGTAATAATAGACCCATATAAAATATTTGGACAAACTTGAGTGTGCAATATCAAATTTCTCAATTATAACATCATTTTTTTCGTATATATATATTACAGGGTGACTGGTGAATTACTATCGATATTTGAGGACGTGATATTTGACGATCATATATAACAAAATAAAAATGAATATAACATAAATATTAATAAACTTCTAAGTAAAGTTAACCAAAAGTTATGTAATTAATTAAGCATCGTGTGAACACCCTACAGATTAGGTATACACACACACTCACACAGACGCGGCGGCGGCGTAGTGTTGTATCAGCACGCCGCCGCACGCGTCCACCCTTGGAACACTTGGAACGTGTCCACACTTTATTTATTTATACGGAAATTTGGTCAATAATTAAGTACCTATTTTTTTTACATAATTCGAATGAGAATCATGTACCGAGTATGCTCCTTAAATATTGATAGTAATTCACCAGTCACCCTGTATAGTTCCCATTTAAACCATATAATGTGTTCTTATAAAATGAATTATATATTTTTATCTGTATACGAATTAAAAATGAATTAAAAACATAACATGCGACCAACTCTAAAAAATAAATATAAATGTATTTTAAATAAAGAGAAGTATTTATTTACGATGAAAATAAATATAACGTAAGGAAATCTTAGATCATGTATTGATCGCAAATAATTATACTACAATGAAATTGACTCCCAACTTGAATGAGTTGTTAAAAAAATAATATTAAATCTAATACTTTTGTCTTTGTTTAAATAATTTTAAACACAATTAAATGAAATATAAGTGCCAAAACGATTACATTATAAATATTTTCTAGTCAATTAAAAAACTTAGTTTTCATTGACCGTATATAAATTTGAAAACAATTTTATAATACTTTGAGTTAAAATGTTTGTTGGAAAAAATTAAAATGAACTGTGTACAAGTCGCGAGCTTAGATGTAGTGGAAATGTTTCAAAAAATATAAATAATAAGAAAATTTAAAGCCCATAGGGTATTAAAATTCAGTTTGATAACATTTTTACTTATTTTATACACTACAATCGTTTTCTGTTTTATCATCTGTTATGTATTGATCGAAAATTAAATAAAAAATATATATTTACTTGATATTTGAACATTTTAGGTAATAATTGTGTTGGTTGCTACATAATTAGGGAAATGAATTTGAAAGTTGCTAAATTTCTAAAAAACCTTGTAATAAATTTTTATTTAAGAGATAAAAAAAATTAATATTTAAAATTTAGATTATATAAACACGTTCCTGTTAAGGATTTGTCATAATTTATAGAAATTTCCTTATTTGTATTTATATTTCATAGAATAGAATTATTAGTGTAAGTTACAGTTTATAAGCACAAAACTTACAGTAAACAATATTATAACTATGAATCAACTTCAGAATTGTACTGGTATTATCTGTGTATATATATACTTCTCATTGATAATTAAAAATCTCATATATATAATAAACCTGTATAATTTACTGAAATTATTTAAGTCTCTTAAATACGAAAAAACCTGTAGTAATTTCAATATTTAGTCATTTCTTAGTAATAAGTTTTCATAACAGAACCTTAGAGTATATACTCCGAAGTAAATATGACAATATAAAAAAAACGAATAATATAAAGCATAATGTAACCAATAGTTATTAATTAATTTTATATAACATGTAAATACATTCTAATAACTACAATAGTATAGAATATAATGTTGAATTTGATGTTCGTTCCGTTTATTGTAATTGTTGAAATTCAAATGGCCTCATCGATGATTTGGTTATATTAGATGTTCCTTTATGTTGAAGGCATTTAAATTATCTAAAAGACTGTCATTTTATTTTTCAATTTTCTGTGATATACATGTTGGTACATTCACTGTTGTATTATATGTAGATGTGGTTGAAGGTGATTTAATGTTGAATGTCGTATTGTTAAGAGATTACGACATTTATGTTTGCATTTTTATCTTCTAATAATTCTAGACTAAGATATTTCCAAGTATGAATGGTTTAAATCTGTAGACACGTAGTTCACTTTTCTTATACCGTACAATGATTATTGAATATTGATTAGTGTGTTATTATATTTAGTGTTGCATGCTCCCAAAATTATTATGTTTTTGTAAATAAAATTTACTTTGTTAGAATTTAAATGTAATGAAAGAATTATATTGCGGTCAGATGACTATTATAATGTGGTTTTATTTTAAAATCCTTAGTTAGGTGACAAGATGGTTAATGAGTTTGAAGTTGTGGATAATTAAATAATTAGAAGAACTAGCGACATCGTTCTTAATGAACATTTGTTAACTAAATATATTGCCTTCCATGTAAACCTACTCAATTTGAAATATTGTCTCCGGATAAATGCCATAAAATATACCGATTTCATTGTACATATATAATATTTTTTTTATTGTTAACAAAATTTCACTTTTTGTGTTTTGAAATTCATAATAAACAGTAATAACACAAAAGAACAGAAATATTTTGAATAATATTTTAGAGTTCCATTCACTCTTTCCTATAACTTAAATAATTTTATTGCCAAAAGTTGACAACGTAATAACAAATCCCTACTAATATTATAAATGCGAAAGTGTAACTCTGTCTGTCTGTCTGTTACACTTTCACGCTTAAACCACTGAACTGATTTTAATGAAATTTGGTACAGACATAGAGTTGATCTTGGGAAAGAACATAGGATAGTTCTTATCCCAGACTTTTGAGAACTTCTCTTGGAAAAGCGATATAACCGAACTCTAGTATAATATAATGGTATGCAAGTTGCAACTCTCCAGAAAAAAAATAAACGTTTGATATTGATAAATTAATAGTTAGTGGTGGCCTAGTGTTTAAAAGGCCCGTCTCTCATGCACGAGGGCAAAGGTTCGATCCTGGCCCAGGCAAGTACCGATGTGATTTTTCCGAGTCATATGTACTTTCTAAAAGTATTTAGACATCACTGATTAATGCATTCCTAAAAGAGGGTTGATGTCAGACATATTACATACATTCTTGTGTTAATAGATTTGTTATTTTTCTGACGGCATTAGCTGCACCATGCTTAAATCTATACAAATATTAAAAATCTGAAGAGTTTCTTTGTTTAAAAGCGTTAATCTCACAAATACTGGCACGAATAAACGTTAGGGCTTTAGGCTATATAATAACTGCCACTAATAGGAGCGTCGAAACAATGGGAAATGTGTTTAAAACGGTGAAAATTATTCATCTTTGAGGGCTTCCCTACGCTGAGACAACGGTTTGAGATACCAAAAAAATATATACGAAAAAATGATTCCTCTTCAATTAATATAAAAGGAAATCCGCGACAGTATGTAATGACTATCTTTTAATATTGACTAACTTGCAAAGTTTTGCATCATTATGCATCATTACCAATTATTTGTTAGGGTTGTATCAACATAATAATGTTAATCTTTATACAAATAAACGTGTCGTTGATTAAGAGTATTTAATCGTGAATAAAATTGTCTTTTACATCACTTAATTTCAATGAACATCTTAGAAGATATTATGGTACGTTTGATTTAAGCTGAGCTTTGTATTGGTGTGAGTGCACATGGATAGTGTAGGTGTGATGTCAAATTTTTGAATGAAACGTTGTTTTCTAGTTTTTAACCGGTTTATTCTGCTTCTACTCCTCCCCGCACCTTCCTCACAACACCTTTTGTACTGGTAGCAAAATCAAATGTTGAAAACGCAATGTCAAATGAATAAGAATTTATAGTTTTTTCAAAATTTTTATTAATCTATATTTTTTTTCCATTATATTCAAAATATTTCCATCTGGCCTTTAACAAGTTTTGCTTATTTTATAGCACTTATGTTATGTATCTATTTAAAATATAATAAAATTTAATTCTAAATGTTTTTTGTCCAACTCTACTTTTACTTTCACTAATGCCTCCTCTACACGTCGGCGGACGCGTCCGCCTACGTGTAGAGGGAGTGATTTGCTCGCCTGTGGTAGGTATTTGACGTCGGCAGACGCGTCCGGCACTTATCCGTTTGTTGTCGGTTTTTGTTGCACGGATCAAAGGGATCTGGCGCGGGCGCCCGGCGCGAGCGTGCGGTGTGTCCACACGTCTGACGACGCATCAGTGTTCAGCGGGAAGCGAGTGAGAGTGCACGCGTGATTTTCGCCGTTCTTTTTTACCTACCGCCGTTTTTTTCTTGCTTGTTGAAATGTGCGCCCGCGCCAGATCCCTTTGATCCGTGCAACAAAAACCGACAACAAACGGATAAGTGCCGGACGCGTCTGCCGACGTCAAATACCTACCACAGGCGAGCAAATCACTCCCTCTACACGTAGGCGGACGCGTCCGCCGACGTGTAGAGGAGGCATAATAGACTACAGGACCATATGCAAAACATAATATATGAACCACCAGGTGACGTATATGTTTAAAAAAAAGTTGCCGTATAGAGTCCAATGATTTTTCAGCTTAATAAATCAAGTATATCAGGAAATCAAGATAATTATTAATATACATTCAAATGAGCAATAATTTTTTGACGGCATTATTTTCAATAGTACTTTTGAGTACTAGGTAGATAATGTTTTGGAACTGAAGCCATACTTTCTTATCACCCCCGGACCACGGAAAGAGAGAGGGTTGCAACCCTCGATTATTTTCCCTTGTCGCATGATTTTTGTACAGCGTTGCCGAATAATGGATTAGAAGCTGTATTGAAACAGAATGAAACTGATGCCGTACAGAATAAAATGACCAAATTTACTCAGGAAATTGTCAGATAATAAAAAAAAAACCGACTTTGTGGCGCATCATTTTTTACGGCACTACGCGCTTTCTTATTTTTTTAATGGATTTACCGATGGTAAAAATGCCGTACATAAATATATGACCTAAAAGGTACTCACTCTACCTGCGCTTTTGAATTCTCACCAGCACTCAGTTGGATAGCTTACAAGTGACGGCATAGAGCTGAATCTTATTATTTTATGCTCTTATATCGTCCTATATACGTCACCTGGTGGTTCATAGGACCAATAAATCTTTTGGACATGGGCCTGTAGTCTATAACGGACTATACACATGTGCAAAACTTTGAGAGGTGTTACTTGTGAGCGACGCGGATAGGGGGTGTAGCTCTATGAGGTATCAAGCCGTTTGGCTCAGAAGTGCTTTAAAAAAATGTCTCTAATAATAACTGAAATTGACAAAAATGAATATGACGATCAAAATAACTAATCCACGCGGACGAAGTCGCGGGGACAGCTAGTTTTTAATATTTCCCATATCCCGTAGTAAAGATTAAAATTTGAAAATTTATTCCTTAATCAAACTCGGGTTTAGAATAACGATTCCAATTTAACAAACTTCTTTAAAAACTGCCAATTTTGAGACCAATTTTTGACTGGCAGAGAATACCTTCAGGCATTAAGTCCACCTTTTGTATCTACGTGTGTAGTTAGACAATAAAGTTTTTTTTTTTAATTTTGTGTTACGGCTTGGAGACTATATGAATTTATACTAATAACAAGCATTAATCCCTTTTCTCATTTGAATCAAAAGATATTGTATCGATTCAGAAGTAGGATGATAAATTGCCAATATTTCCTATTAATAATAAGGAACAAAAAAACTTTATCTTTACACAAAAACTCGAATGACAAGGATAAGAAAAATCTCTACTACCAAAAAATATAATTTTAGGCTGAAGGAAAGATTTTGAAGGAGATGAATTACAATTAATTATTTTAATATTTTTATGGGTGATTATTAAAACTATAATATTATATACAATATAATTATCAATCTTATTTTTAATTGTAGTTTACATGATTTTTTTTATATATTACCATCTAGAAATAATATGATAATTTTTAGAGTACATAATATATTGTGTACATTATAATTATTACGTCATATTGATTTTTAGTAAACAGGGTTAACCACCAAAAATTTAATATGGCAACTATCAAATTTCTGACGTTAGCTGTCGCCTACCGTAGTGGCGTAGTATGTTTCGTATTATGTACGTTCTTACTTACTATTAAGTAGTAGGTACATACTTATCGTAAAATTAGTAGTCGGTTGTAAATATCCACCAGTGTAAACTAATTCAAAAGTTAATATGTGTGAATTTATAGTTTAACTCTTAATTTATTATATAATTGCAAGACGACACTTAAACTATCGAGCAATTGACAAAATAATAACTTTTCTTAACTATAAGTGCAAAGTTACGTACTCAATCAAACAACAAGTTGCGTCATATAATAATAGTGTTTATTATTTATTGACTTTGAAACCTAACTCTTTTAAAAGTGTGAATTTCTATATCTGTGTGTCGGATAAACTTAAAAATAGTGTTTTAAATAATTTTGATGATATTAGACGATTTTTGGGATATGCCTCCTGTTAAACGCGGGAGACGGGGAGTCAGCGACGCTGATGATGAGGACGATGATTACAGAAAGAAGCGAGATCGAAATAATGAGGTTTGTTTTGGATTATTACTATTAATATCTCATATGAGGTTTCTTATTTGCAAATCTATACAAATGCCCCCCAAATTTGAATAAAATGCAATGAATAGGTAACAAAAAAATATAAATGTATTAAGAGTATATACACATACCTACAAATGGTATATAATATTAATTTACTTTGATGTTTATATTATGTAATAATTGTTTTTGAAAGTATTACTTACCATGAACGAAACCATTTTTGTGAGTAATATTAAATTAAATTATGAAATGTGACAATGATTTCATATTACAAAACTATGTCTATAGATTGTGCAATAACTTATGCGTCCTGTGAACGAACTGATCTCATTGTCAATGTTTTTATTAAGACAGAAAATTCAAAGTAGTTAATTTAACAATAGTAAATATTTTTATCACACAAAATTTTTGGATGTACTAGAAATTCGATAGGTCTTTCTTTCATAAGTCAGCCTTTTTACAAAATTATCTTTTTTTCCAACAGATGACTTTAAATTAGTTTTAAATTTATAACACAACAATTAATAATTTATTAAATTGTTTCAGGCAGTGAAAAAAAGTAGATACAAGTCAAAACAGAGAACACAAGAAACAGTTGTGAGAGTCAACAAACTGAAGGCTGAAAATCAAATGCTAGAAGAGAAAGTTAAAACGCTAACAAAAGATCTCAAGTTCCTTAAAGACCTGTTCATGGAATACGCTTCTAATTCACAGAACCCAAAATTTGAGGGCTTCGACCTCGAGAAGCTGCTAGAAGATGAACAAGAAGATAAGAAAGATAAAGATAGTAAATAATTATACAACATCACATACAATATAATGTATAATAGAAAAGAAATCATACCTGTATTAGAAAAATTCTCAATTAATTTTTAATGCTGTCGGAATAACTAATTGTTAAGTCTCATACAAAATTATAAAAAGCTTTTGCACTATTACTATTAGTAATTACTTAGATTTCTAGAGTAATCGTAATATATGTTACTTTAACCAAAACGATATGCATTTATTATCCATTACAGGATTAGAATGAATTGTTTTGGAATATTTTTCATCATAAATCATAATAATACTTTAATTTTTTTGTCCGAGCAAGTTTTAAGGTACAATAAGTTAGACTATTTTTTGGACTAGGTTCCACGACTCACTTAAAGGTACAAATGTGTGTATGTTTGGTTTTATATCTTGGCTACCATAATATATAAACAAGTAAAATAGTGCTCATTTCAAAATCACAATGTTTTTTCTTATATTAAAAAAATATAAATCAATTTCTTGCCAAATTGGTAATGTTAAAGCTTTTTTAGTTCTTATGAGTACTCTAGCTTTCCAACGTTGAAAACATCAAAATAATCCTTTTTTAACTTAATTGTAAGTCTAAGATTTTCAAGAGTACTCATTTAAATGAAACTAATATTTTCGGATTTTACTTCGCGTTTTTATTTGTAATTATAAGCTACATACTCCCGATGATTCAGCTACTTTTCAGCAACCGTGATTAGGTAAAATATTAGTTTCATTTATTGTAAGTCAATTTTCTGAGAACTCTCAGCATATATATTACTCCTGGAATTTTAGTCTTCATCATTAGATGATTATTGATTAACAGCAAAATGAGGATTTCTAAGGTGAAAAAAATTAAAAAGAAAGTTTTTTTTATTTAAATTCAATACTATTTTCTGTTCTACCAAATAAATTTGTACTTTTCTTTTATTATAACCATACTTATATGTGTTGTAAAGAGGATGTATAGGTTGTAAAAGTCAGACATTTATTATCTGTGATCACAATATTCTGGTATGAATTGACTTTATTAGATGTTTTGTTTTTTTTTTATCAATGTTGAATGCTACAAAAATCTAAGGAAATTTTACTGTATTGAAAATGTAAAAAATTATATTGTTTATATTTTTGCATTGCATATATGTGATTAGGATATTTTTACAATTAAATCATTTTAAAAACTCGATTTCATTATTTTTTATTCCCGAAAACTTTAACCATATAATTTTTTTTGTGATAGTCAAAGAAAAAACAATGGAAAGAAAAAAATATTTTATTAAACAACATATTTACAGTTGTTTTGATAAATATCAAACATTTACAATGAGCAATTTCTTCATTATAATAAAAAATTTCGATGACATGACAATGAGAAACGCGAAATAAAATCATTGACAGACAAAATAAAAGTTCAATACCTAACAATAAGTAAATAGAGTATTTTGTAATACAACAACTATTATCTAATAAATACTACAACTAGCCGTATCTAGGGTTTAATATAAAATATATACAACTATATGTAATGTATATTTTGATTCACAGAATGAGTACTCCATGTTCTTAACTGAGCGCTGGCAAGATAAAACATGTAGAATTTTCATATTTAAAACATATTTGAATATGGAACGAATGTAAGTAACCAATCATCAATCATTTCCAGACATTAATGACACCGTCAGCGGATGAACTGACGAGGTAACATTTGTTCCCCTCCACGAGCGTGATGTCCGTTATCGGTGCGGTGTGATAGAAGCTCCGTGACTCGACTGTTCTGTATACATTGTCTTCGTGGGTTGTCGATGTTGGATTCGGTTTCCAAATTTCTTGTATGACAGTCGTCCCGTCAATGATACGACTCCTGGAAAGATATTTATTATATAATAGAAATATTAAGGATATCGAACAATATTATTCTGTACTAGTTCTAATTTTGGCTTCTATTGCAATCGATGTTGTATGCGTTTAGATATGGAATCCAACCGATAGCGACATCTAGTCTTTGTCACGAGAACTCAAACAACACAACTGGTAGGATTTAATTGAGCGGGAACTATTCTTAAGAACGGGATAAATTACAATCTATGATCTATTTCAAAGCCACATTACTGTACAATTACTTTCACACATATATATGATGAAACAAATATATAACAATAAAATCGTTTTAAAAACATAATGTTAGAATATATTCTGTTGATTTATTCAAATTTGGAATTATTCCATTCCAAATACAAATTCCAGACGTTCATTTTCGTCGACCTCGTCTATCAAGTAGTATATCGTCGAAGATAGTGCAAATCTGCGTAAGTGTTATTTTGTGTTTTATTACTAATTGTAAAAAAAAAAACCCTTAAAAGTCGTGAATTTAGAAAATATTTCAGTTCAAACTTTCTTCGATGATCTGCGTATAATATAGATACGCGGAATCGTCCAATGGTAGTTAGTGAGTGCCTACCTGTATTTGACTCCGTCCATATGTTCGTTGTGCGCGTGCAGCAGTACGTGCGAGTCCTCCGCGTGCTGCAGGTCCCACAGCCTCAGGCGCTGGTCGGAGCCGCCCATCACCACTAGCTTGCTGCCGTCACGGGTGCCGCAGTACGCGCTCGATATATAGTGAGACGACTGGGGGGCAACAATTAATATACTCACACATTGAATGGGCAGGTTGTTTATATATATATTAAAAAAACCCGCTGAGTTTCTTTCGCCGGTTCTTCTCAGGTCAGGGTATTTTGTTTCCCGAACCGGTGGTAGTGTCTCAAGTGACCACCAATAAGAAAGTGTAATGCTTCTATATTGAATAAAGTTGTTTGAGTTTGAAAACAAGTCAGATATCAAATATAGGGGAGTTATCAAAATAACACCATTAAAAATACTATTTCAGCCCTTAATATAATATGTGTACATACCGCATGTTCATAGTTCAAGGGTTGTTGCGAGGCTGTGAAGGGCCACAGAGCGTGTGTCCTCTGAGTGGACTCAAGACACCAGGAGGCTGCATCCCGACCGCCCACCGCCCACACGCGGCGCCCACCACTGCCCACGATACGACGAATACGCTCAGCTACAAACAGAAATAAACGAAATAAGAAAACAAAATGGATTATTGGCAATGAATAATGTCTAACAAACTAATATAACAATTTAATATATTGAGTAGTTTGCTAAAGTATTATCGATTCAATTTTTTTTAATTTTCAGTAAAAACTTGAATGTCAAATACTAGTCGATTTATAACGATTCCTACTGATTCCTTTGATAGGTTCGGGGAATCGAAACCAGAACACTCCATCACAACTTATGTTTGAAAGAAAACTCAATAAAGCCAGTATCCTGGCTTCCATTCATATATTTACTGACGCAATAGTATCGATTGAGGTGTCAACTAAGTTTGATGTTAAGGTTTAATTAGTGAAATAATATATATATTAAATTATCTTGGAATAATATTAACTTTTAAATACGATTAAAAAGATAATATTTGGTAAGTGATATATAACTGGTGAAATCCATAGATTTTAAAGGGTTACATATACAGGGTGACTGGTGAATTACTATCAATACTTGAGGACGTGATATTTGACGATCATATATGACAAAATAAAAATTAATATAACATAAATATTAATAAACTTCTAGGTAAAGTTAACCAAAAGTTATGTAATTAATTACGCATCGTGTGAACACCCTACAGATTAGGTATACACACACACACACGCGTGCGGCGGCGTGGTGTTGTATCAGCACGCCGCCGCACGCGTCCACACTTGGAACGTGTCCCCACTTTATTTATTTATACGGAAATTTGGTCAAAAATTAAGGACCTATTTTTTTTTTACATAATTCGAATGAAAATCATGTACCGAGTATTCTCCTTAAATATTGATAGTAATTCACCAGTCACCCTGTACATATATATGGAATCTCAGTTCTCATAATTTTCTTTGACACAAGATGTTCTTCTAGGTTTCGTTAATTCACCCTGACCAGTTTTATTCCCTGTCTTTATAATAATAATAAATCACTTTATTTCCAGAATCATATTCCAATTTTACAAATACTTATTATTTAATGAATTCACTACACTCCATATCGACAAACAAGAACTTAAAAAACCAAAACAAATACCTTAAATTAATATTATAAGCATAAGCTTGATTATTTAAGTTTATCGTTGGTAGTACTTGTTAATTCTTTAAACTACAAAACTCACAGTTTGGATGTTTGACGGACGTGATCGGCAGACTGAACCTAAGGTCCCACACACACACGGCGCCGCTGGAGGTACCCACCGCTATGTAACCCGAACTATTGGCGTATAGACATGTGTACACGCCCTGTTTGAGATCTCCTTGAAGCTTCCACGCGTTACCTGATAGAAATTTATGAGTATTATAGGTTAAATATTTTTTTCTTCTATCATATAATGTGTTTCTAAAGTAAAATTTATTGAATCTTGATATACGTTCTTATGTAAACTGGTGAGTGGACAATATACTTAGTAAAAGTGGGAGTGGAAAGGGAGATATTAGTTAGTGAAGTTAGAAAGAGATAGAGATACAAATTACAGTACGAGATAGAGAGTTCCTTCTCTCACGTTACGTTCCGTGTAACTAAAACACGGTGTATATGTACATGATAAATAAATAATAAATAAAATTAGCCTTTATTGCTGTTTAAATTGCAAAAACTACTTCTACCAAATAACTAAATTTTATTATATTATCCTATTTCTTAATCTAATCTTAAATTAGTTATAATAAAATGCCTTCATCAACGTTCATTTTAAAATCAATATTAACATATTAATATGAAAATAATTGTACATAAAGATTTACACAAGTTTTGTTTAACTTGTTGGATCTAAGTCACACTTCTAGATTTCTGTGTATCCTACTAATATTATAATTGCGAAAGTTTGTGAGTGTGTGTGTATGTTTGTTACTTCTTCACGCTCAAACGGCTGAACCGATTTTGATAAAATTTTGTATACAGGAAGCTGACGTCCAGGAATAACACATAGGCTACTTTACATCCCGGAAATCCGCGGGTAACACCGCGGGGAACAGCTAGTACACAATAAATATGATTGTAATAACTGACCGGGGGCTCTAAGATCCCATCCGACCACACAAGCTCCAAGGGTAGCGTATGAGATGACCCCAGCTAGGACTCCGCCCGCGGCCGACACAGCCACACACGACCCCTCCGCCCCGCTTTCAAGCTGGCGACACTGAGACAGGCAGAGACGGGAACCAGCGTCTAGTCTAAATATAGTATAAAATAAACATATATAGTGAGGGTAGATAGACAGTTATTCATACAAAGACTATGGTGTTAGTAATTAATATGATGGGTGTGTATGAATGAAAGCTTTGAAACGAATTGTATGAAGTGTGACCAGGCAGTCTTATAGTATGGGTCCTAGTGCACTGATATATGTATGTATTGAGAAGGGAAAATAGAGAAATTATTCTTCCATATAATATATGACAGTAATGATTAGTTACAATATTTTTGTGTAAATTTTCATTGTATATATCTAACATATTACAGTATATAAAGATTTAAGTTAGGACTATTAATGTTGGTACATAATTAAGAGCGAAAATTAATATGTATATAAATATACTCAAACAAAAGATTTATAAGCAGCGTTATATCTATATATGTACGTGTGTGTGTGTGTGTGTGTGTGCGTATGTATGTGTGTGTATGTGTGTGTGTGTGTGTATGTGTGTGTGTGTGTGTGTGTGTGTGTCCGTACCGTAACACAAACACAGATCCGTCGGTGGTAGCGGCGGCCAGAGAGTGTCCCGCCTCGCAGGCAGTCAGCGACACAACGGCCCCCGCGCCACGGTTGTACACACACTTGGACCTGATAAACAAACACACATAATATGTTAATAGGAAGTAGGATTCAATCGTCTTCTACCTGGCAATTTCCCAGCTATAGCCAGGTTCTGCCGTACATGTTGTGAATAGTTTTGTCTAATTGTTTTTACGACCGGCCGCCTGACATCAACCCTCTTTGAGAATGCATTAATCAGTGATGTCTAAATACTCTCAGAAAGTGCATATGACTCGAAAAATCACATTGGTAGTTGCCAGGATCGAACCTGCGCCCTCATGCATGAGAGGCGGCCCTTTTACCACTAGGCCATCACTGACTGTGAACCTAAGAAGTAGGATTCAATGGTTGGCTCTAACAGTAGTTTTTCTTGATGACTATGTGAGTTTTTTGCATGACTTGTCTTTGTGTATGTACGTGTTCTCTCTTTGTATGTGTGTGTGTGTCTTGTCTCTCTGTGTGTGTATCTCGTGTCTATTTCTATATTTGTGTGTGTGTGTGTGTGTGTGTGTATGTGTATACTTGTTAACGTATGCGTGTCCCTGTAGTCGCGCCGCGTCCCACAGCCTCACGGTCCCGTCGTCGGAGCAGGAAGCGAACATAGACCTGTGAGCCGGCAGACGGACCAGCTGATTCACACGAGATCTGTATACAAACAATATATTATTATCAACATATATAAGGCTATACTTTAATCGTTTTTACTATAATAAACTTTTAAAGCAATTATTAATTTACTAACTCATATATGTTCCATATGTTAGTTTCTGTTATACAGGGTGACTGGTGAATTACTATCAATATTTAAGGAGAATACTCGGTACATGATTCTCATTCGAATTATGTAAAAAAAATAGGTACTTAATTTTTGACAAAATTTCCGTATAAATAAATAAAGTGTTGACACGTTCCAAGTGTTCCAAGTGTGGACGCGTGCGGCGGCGTGGTGATACAAAACCACGCCCCCGCCGCGTATGTGTGAGTGTGTGTGTATACCTAATCTGTAGGGTGTTCACACGATGCGTAATTAATTACATAACTTTTCGTTAACTTTACTTAGAAGTTTATTAGTAATAAGTTAGTTTAATATTAGTAAGTTATGTTATATTAATTTTTATTTTGTCATATATGGTCGTCAAATATCACGTCCTCAAGTATCGATAGTAATTCACCAGTCACCCTGTATAGTTACTTCTTCATCTTATTTACGATATTCTATTATTGTTAAAATGTTATCAAAATAATTATAATGTAAAGATGTTACACGTAGCGCCACCTATTAGCCGAGAAATGAAACGTGTCTATAGTATCTATTGCCTAAATTGTCTATGTATGAATGTTTAAATGCTATTAAATATAGTCTTTTCAAAACCGTCAACCGAAATCTTTTATTAATTATCATATCAGTGAATAATAATAAGTAAAATGATACGAACATTCACAGTATTACTACCACTAGTTCTCAAGATCAAACTAAGCACATCCACTATCCATTGTATCCCTACTAATATTATAAATGCGAAAGTAACTCTGTCTGTCTGTCTTTTACTCTTTCACACCTAAGCCACTAAACAGATTTTAATGAAATTTGGTACAAACATAGAGTTGACCTTGAGAAAGAACATAGGATAGCTTTTATCCCAGACTTTTGTAAGGAACTCCACGCGGGCGAAGCTACGGGCGGAAAGCTAGTGATTCATATACAAATGTTAATACTATCGTATGTGGAGACTTATTAATGAAAACTTCAAACTGTCTGTATTGAGTACGATCAAGCGAACTCGTAGTAAGTGTATTTATGTTAAATCTACTACACCTGTGTTCGTGGAGGTATGCCAGCAGTGTGTTCCCAGGTCTCCAGCTAGCGGGAGGCGCCAGGTCTTCACCGGAATCTAATGGATCTTCGTGACTTCTGATATATACATAATAAATACGTAAAAAATTTAACCTATGTAGTTTATCAAAATACATCCAACTAATATTATAATTGCGAAAGTTTGTGTGTGTATATGTTTGTTACTTCTTCACGCTCAAATGGCTGAAACGATTTTGATAAAATTTTGTATACAGTAAGCTGACGTCCACGAATAACATATAGGCTACTTTACAACCCGGAAGACCGCGGGTAACACCGCGGGGCGCAGCTAGTAATTTATAATATAAATAGCTGATCCAGCAAACGTTATTTTGCCATATAAAAATAGGGGTGAGTGATAAAAAAAGTAAAAATTTTGGGTTGTATGTATTTTTTATGACACATTATAAAAAAAAGAAGGCGGAACAACCCTTATCATTTAGGAGTATGGAAAATAGATAGTAGCTAATTCTCAGACCTAATGAATACGTATATAAAATTTGGTAAAACTCGGTGAAGCCGTTTCGGAGGAGTACGGTAACTAATATTGTGACATGGAAATTTTACATATTAGATTAAAATAGCATCATTCTCGATTTTGTATATTGCATATGTAAATTATATGAAAATAATTCTTGTGTTTTATATTCTAATATATTTAGTATTACCTCAGAGACTTGTTGTACTTCTGCTGCATCCTCGTTATGAGGTTTCTCAGCTCTATCCGACAGGGGGCCATGCTGTCTGAACACACATATAAAATAAATATAAACATATTTCACGTATGTAAAAAAAATAAATCAATTTTATTTCTTATACTATATATGTATTAGAAATGAATTTACTTTAAATTTGACTATTTGATATAAAGTTATGTAATAGTGAGTTAATGACATAAATGTTTTTAACTTTGTGTGTGTGTGTGTACTCACATTGCACATATGTGGCGCTGTGTGCCAGCTGTGAGTGTGTGTGTGAGGGCGGGACACTCGTGGACACTACGCCCGACACACTCGACACAGCCTGGCTCTCACACACTGAGTAAATACATTTATATTAATATTATACATATAAAATACATTTTAACCGATATCAAGAAGTAAGAGGTTTCTTAATTCGATTGTTGATATGCTTTATAACAATATTTTTTCTTTACTTTGGAATTTAAAAGACCTTACATTGACAGCATGAAAAGATAAATATAAAAATATGTAACATTAACAGATTAATTATATTAAATAATAAGTATAAACATATTTATAATATTTCATAAGGAATACATATTAAACATTTTTCTTTTAATTACACAATATTTTATAACAATTATTCTTTAAATTAATACTTATTTTAAAGTATCCAATAAATATTTTTATTTTTATTAGATTTTTTTTCCTAATTTTCATTATTACTAAAATACCTATGTATGTATACCTTTAACAGTGCTCTGTTCCGTGGTCTGTCCAAACATGTGTTGCCACTCAGTGTTCATGTGAGTCTCGTGGTTGACAGACGTCTTGTGTGTCCGTCTGTGTACAAAACACATCTTTATATACAATATATATTAAGACTTTAATTTAAAAAAATTAAATCATACAATATATTTTTGAGTCTAAATTATTTTAAAATGATATGTTTGGTAATATTGAAATAAAACATTGTATATTATTATTTTTAAAATTGAAACTAATAATTTTAAGATCCATCGCCTACTGAATATTTATATATTCTTCTACCTGGCAATTTCCCAGCTGTAGCCAGGGTCTGCCTTACATGTTGTGAATAGTTTTGGCTAATTGTTTTTACGACCGCCCGTCTGCTTGACATCAAACCTCTTTGGGAATATACATGCATATACAGGGTGACTGGTGAATTACTATCGATACTTGAGGACGTGATATTTGACGATCATATATGACAAAATAAAAATTAATATAACATAAATATTAATAAACTTCTAAGTAAAGTTAACCAAAAGTTATGTAATTAATTACGCATCGTGTGAACACCCTACAGATTAGGTATACACACACACACACACACACGTGCGGCGGCGTGGTGTTGTATCAGCACGCCACCGCACGCGTCCACACTTGGAACACTTGGAACGTGTCCACACTATTTATTTATACGGAAATTTGGTCAAAAATTAAGTACCTATTTTTTTTACATAATTCGAATGAGAATCATGTAAAAAAAATAGGTACTTAATTTTTGACCAAATTTCCGTATAAATAAATAAAGTTTGGACACGTACTCAGCCTTGCCGGCGCCAGTGTGTCGCTACTCCCCAACCCCCGCCCCGTGGCTAGCGGGCCATTAGTCGGCTATTAGTCGCGCGAGCGCCGCCGTAAGGTCCGTACGTTCGTCTTCCCGCGCGCGCGCCTAGCGATCGATCTTACGCGTATACCTAATAATAATCTGTCGTGTGTGCGTGTGACCCGTTATTACTTATTAGTAATTAAATATGGCTTTTCAATACACAAATGCAGAATACTTGGACATGGTTCATGCGTATGCGCGTGCAAATGAAAGCTTGCCGGGCGCAATCAATTTGTACCGGGAGATGTTCCCTAATCGTCGAGTACCTACGGCCAGCGTCATCTTAAACGCTAATCAAAGATTACGAGACTTCGGACAGTTCCGTGTTCAAACACATGCCCAAGGAAACGTCTTGTGTATGCTACAGAGTATGTAAACAGAGAGGAGTTGAAATTAAAAATCAATAGTGATTTCAAAACTATTAAAAGTGACCCATTCGTATTAAATCGTGTGAAAGACAATATGTGTAAACGTGCCGAACTGTGTATCACACGAGAAGGAGCTCGCTTTGAACATTTGTTAAGGTTAGTGTAGTTATGTAGGTAAATAGGTAGTTTAATGATTGACAATTGTTGTAAATAAGTATGATTCCATTTTTAAATACGCCGGAAATACCAAGATAGGTAAACAGTTCATATTATTTTTTGTGTCAAGGTCACACCATTTACCTAGTCAATAAATTGGTTGCTTAAACGAAAGAAATATCTTGGTATTTTTGCCTGTCCAGCCAGCCAGGATTAAAGTATGAAGGGAAAATGATCATTTTTGTTTATCTAAGGTCTAACACGCGGCGGCGCGCGGCGTTTGGATGTAGGTAAGCTACCGCGCGGTAACTACATATACCTACGTACATAACTGTTTTGTGTCGATAACGCAGCTAGGGTATCCACGCGATCCGTAATTAATTACATAACTTTTGGTTAACTTTACTTAGAGGTTTATTAATATTTATGTTGTATTAATTTTTATTTTGTCATATATGATCGTCAACTACCACGTCCTCAAATATCGATAGTAATTCACCAGTCACCCTGTATATACAGGGTGTATGAAAAACTGTGTCAACCCTTGAAGGCATGTATACATATAAGTATAAGCTTATTATAAAAAATAGTATAACTTAAAAAAAATCAAGCAGAGGTCAGTTACAGTGCATAGGCTAAATAAGTTTAAAATCGACATTATTTGAAAAAATGTTTCAAACATCTGACGCAATACAAGGTCAAGGCCCCGTATCGTCGCGAAGACGCATGCGCGGCCTTTGATCGCAGGCGCCGGCCGCCGGCGTGGCACACTCGTCTTTTGTTAGTGTTTATTAGGTAGGTTTATCGATAAATATTCTATCGACATTTTCAATATTACTATAAGTAGTTATGCTTTTCTTTAGTCATTTAAAGTAACTTTTATAAATAATAAATATTATTAATCAATATTATAATTTGGAACTTCTTCAGGTAAATTAACTATGTTGTATTATTAGGATAAATCGTTAATCTATTTCTGTTAGAAATACTGTTTTACAATCAAAAATAATATTAATGTTTGATATATCAAAATAAGTATCGAAACAATGTGAATATTAAATATTTATTTATTGTTATTATTTTTTAAATATCGATATTTTCAATAATGTGAAAGTAACTTCGAGTTCGTCACTAGTAAGTAGCGCAGCAGTTATGATGACGCAATACAAGGTCAAGACACCGTATCGTCGCGAAGACGCCTGACGCATGCGCGGCCTTTGATCGCAGGCCCCGGCCGCCGGCGTGGCACACTCGTCTTTTGTTAGTGTTTCGAATAGAAATTTGCAAGTTTAAAAATTAGGTTTATCGATAAATATTATATTGACATTTTCAATATTGCTATAAGTAGTTGTACTTTTCACATTAAAATAATTTCATTTAAAATTACTTTTATTAATACTAAATATTATTAATCAATATTATAATTTGGAACTTCTTCAGATAAATTAACTATGTTGTATTATAAGATAAATCGTTAATCTACTTCTGTTAATAATGGTGTTTTACAATCAAACATAATATTAATGTTTGATATATCAAAATAAGTATCGAAACAATGTGAATATTAAATATTTATTTATTGTTATGATTTTTTAAATATCGATATTTTCAATAATGTGAAAGTAACTTCGAGTTCGTCACTAGTAGCGCAGCAGGTGTGATGACGTCATTGCGTGTCATCGTGTTATACCAGGGTTTACAAACATTTTGTTACTCTACATAAAATAATCATTTAATATTTAATTTTATTATTTTTATTGAAGAGTTTGTAAATTTAAGTTGTTTTAGTGTGTTACATTTTCGATACTGATAACGTAGTTAAGAGGGTTGACACAGTTTTTCATACACCCTGTATATATATATATATATATATATATATATATATATATATATATATATGTGTGTGTTTGTGTGTGTACTAACCTCTGTACATACATCTTCTCAACCACGTCTTGTCCCCCAACCTCCAACTGCACTGATTTCGATATATCCTTTCCAGTCAATACTAACTTTCCCGGCGCATCAGTAATGTGCTGAAATATTATATTATTATGTGTAAATTTTTTTCTTAATACGATTATGTACAAAGTTTTATTAATAAAAAACTATATTTATTTTGAAGAGACTTCTACTAAGTATATAGAATCTAAATTAATATACAATTATTATGTTAATATAAGTATAATTCACTGGTCGTTTTGTTTTTAGTTTATTCTATCAATATTTTATCACCTGTGTGGATGAACACTGTATCTTAATGAGGTGAGTGCTCATCGCCAGCAGTTGGTTCTCAACGTGTTCCGTCATACCTGGAATATTAGTTATACTAGTTAATAATATTATAAAAACTTAGTTATAGAAGTTGAATTAGTATGCAAACTATATGGCGCACTGCTTACAATGGTTATGTATAACATGATATTCTCAGGTTCAATCCCCAGCTAGGCATAAATATATTCTGTTTTTTTCTTGGTGAATAAATATTTCTAATATATAAAACTTTTCATTTTTTAATTTTATTTACCTTATACCAAGAAATTACATGAATTAAAACTTTAAATTACTACCAGTGGCTTTTTCTGCTCTATATATGTGCAAATATTATGTGATTAACTATATATAATAGATATTATATAATAACCATCTGACGCCAGTCGTCTGAACAAGTTCTTTAGCTGTTGTCCCATCTCAGAATACTGCGGCATTACACCCTGCTTTACCTGTATAATTAAACAATTAAAATAAATATGGTTTTATATAAAAGTGAATAGTATCAAATGATAATTATATTTCTTATCATGTAAGTATAAAAATGGCATAAATTATTTATAGACATGTGACAAAAAGTTGTTTAATATGATGGGTATGTATTCATAATAACCATTACAATGAAACAAGATAAACACTCAAATTATCACAAATTGGATACACCTTTAATATGAGATTAATATATTTTCAATAACTTTAAATTTGACGCTTGTTTTTTTCTATTTTAAGCTATTACATAGCTTCTATCGTGGGCCGTCAGAGTGGAGACCGAATCCAAAAATTCCGAAACGATTATTCCTAACACCTATCGTTGTACGTTGAAAAAATAATTACGTCACATCACGTGCTGACAGTCTTTCTAACGAGAAGCTAGTGATCTAAGTACAGTAACTAAGTATCTTCATAATATTTGAGGCTCCATACAGATACTATTACTCTACCCAGGCTCTGTCTGCAAATGCCTGTATACTTTTATAAAAATGAAACTAATATTTTCGGATCTGTGCAGACACTCACATGTCGTCTGCCCGTGATCACGGTTGCTGTAAAGTAACCGAAACGTCGGGAGTATGTAGTTTATAGTCAAAAATAAAATCGCGTAGTAAATCCGAAAATAATTAGTTTCATTTAAATGAGTACTCGCGAAAATAATTACTTGTGTGTATTCCTGAATACTCCTGTATGTTCCTTTATATTACTGTATACTCCAATAAATTCCTCTATACCACTGTATATTCCTCTATATCCCTGTATATCCCTATATATTTTTCTATACCCCTGTATATTCCTCCATATCCCTGTATATTCCTCTATATTCCTGTATACTCCAACATATTCCTATATATCCCTCTATATCCCTATATACTCCAATATATTCCTCCATATCCCTATATATTCCTCTATATTTCTATATATTCCTGTATATTCCTCTATATGCCTAGTACCTTCATCCTGGTGGCCCTCCTCTCCCTCAGCGTCACCACCAGCCGGTCCACGTCTCCGTGTCTCAGCACCGCGTCCAACACCTTTCTCGGTATAGGCTCAGCGACACTCTCCAACAACAGCTCGGCTTTATCAACCTGGGAATAAAACTGGATATGAATTTTATTAAACTAGCTGCGCCCTGCTAGCCGATTTCCGGGATGTAAAGTAGCCTATGTGTTATTCCTGGACGTCAGATACCTGTATACAAAATTTTATCAAAATTGGTTCAGCCGTTTGACTGTGAACAAGTAACAAACATACACACACACAAACTTTCGCAATTATAATATTAGTAGGATGTAAAACCAAATTTTGTAAAGATTAGGTTTAGTTTTTGGTATCGTCTAAATAATCATCAGAAGAATATATAATTTTATATTAATATTATTTTCTTTTATTACTTAATATGCATAAAATGCAAGCTTTTAAAATATCAAATAAATTTATCATTGTAAAAGTAAACTATTTAAATTATTATATCCTCACATATTTTTGAATCTGTAAAATATTTATCTTTTTTAAAAAGCCAACAAATTTTCATATTATTATTTTATGAGTACCTATTCAATATATTTAAAATATTACAGAGTATATATTCATATATAAACACTACCTGCATCAACTTATGTTTGAGATGTGGCCACACTAACGGCAATATCTTACAGTTGACATCTATCGGGTTCAACAGACTGGCAACACACGACACCAAGCCGCATACCTCGTGACGGATCTGAAATATAATGCCAATATATGAAATATTTATTGTAACTAGTAACTTTTCACACAAATACTGTAACTTAAAAGGAATATAGAAGATCATATGTGTGAAGTTATTTAACACAGACGATAGATGGCGTTGTAGTAAGATAGATTTTTCAGCTCATTATTATTAGTCAATAAAGGTTTAAAGAATTTATTCTCAAAAAGACATAGTCACTTACATGAGAACATATATACAAAAGTAGTCGACAGATTATTTGGAACTCAATTAAAGATAGTAAGATATTATTACACGTGTGTTACATCGTTGGTATATCAATTATTTTCTAAAAAAATGTCGTGAAAGTTGGGATTTAAATTCGTTAATTGAGCTTGCGTTTCTCATAGTAGACGGTAATTTGTTGTGAAGTTGTGCTCCCTCAGATGTAATATCCTTTTTTGCAAATTTTGTCCTAGTCTTTGGGTGAACTAGTAATCTAGGTCGACGGCTGCTACGCGTACTGACTTGTTTCATAAATGACAATGTAGAGTGTACAGATTTATTAATAATTTTTCTTATGAGAATGCAGGAATACATATAAAGTTGTTTTAAATTCATAATCTTCGTTTCTTCAAAAATTTTAACTGTAGATGTAGATTCTTTGAAGTTCTTGTAATTTTGTTTTAGTAGCATTACCCCATACTTCAATTAAATATAACAAATGGGATTTAACTAAAGAGTTGTAAATATTATAGTGTAGTTTTGTGGTATGCACCTAGAAATATTCTTTAGTGACCCAATTAAAGAGGACAGTTTTCCTTTAATATGGTCTATTTAATTGTGAAAATTAAGGTGGTTATCTATTTTTAAGCCAAGATATTTTTCACAGGTTTTTTGCTCGATTATAACGTTGTCAATAGTTAGCGGATCATGTTGCAAAATTATTTTTTCTTTAGGTTTAAATATTATGTAACATGTCTTAGAAGCATTTACAGTTAAAAGGTTATGGCGGTAAGTTTTTGAAATTTAAACTGGATGGTACTTGTCTATTATCTCATCCGATTGTAAGTGTTAGTAAGTATTATTACATGCACTCTTAACAGTATTGCTGTCATTTACATCTAATTCTTTTCTATTATGGTCTTCTTCTTCCTAGCAATTTCTCAGCTTTAGCCAAGGTCTGCCTTACATGTTGTGAATAGTTTTAGCTAATTGTTTTTACGACCTCCTGCCTGAGATCACCCTCTTTGGGAATGCATTAATCAATGATGTCTAAATACTCTTAAGAAGTACATATGACTCGGAAAAATCACATTGATACTTGCCAGGATCGAACCTGCGACCTTTCTTTCCAATTATGGTATCTTCATCTAATTTTAAAGACCACGCGGAATAAATCAATGACTAAATCTATGATTAAAAACATAAGGTCCAACTAAATTATTACAATACCCAGATTTCATAACTAACCCACAAATTAGGATGTGCGAGGTAGACCGAGCTTTCAGCAACTAAATCACACAGAGACTGTTTCGGTAGGAGCCACAATTCCGCTAGACTCGTGGTTGCGCGGAGTGCCTTGGCTATAATCCATTCAGACTGATCCGTTAGACCCTGAAATATTATTCAATATACAAAATATAATTATATTTCTAATTAATGAGTATATGATTCTCGAGAGTATTGATTTAAATGAAACTAATTTTTTTATATAGATAGAAGAAATGATTACGGTTGCTGCAAAGGAACCGAAACGTTGAAATAACGCATAGCAATTCTAAAATATTAGTCTCATTTTTATTTCTGATTTATATTAAAATTCGTCTTACATTTTAAAATATTCGTTGACAGGTTAAAAAATAACCACAGATTAACAATATTAATATGATAACAGTGTCATAATTTTCCTTATATTAGACTGTGTACGGTCTAGTAGACCAAAATACCGTCTATTACCTGTTGCAGCAGCGGCAGTAGTATAGTAGCAGCATGATGTCCGACATATGCCGCTACTCCTACCACGCGCTCGAAGAAACACCCTCGCAGTGAGACTTCTTCCTTATCATTAAGGAATGTCACCATGTGAGATAAGATGACGTCATTAGCTGTAGATAAATAGATAATAGATATATTAGATGATCTACTTCTTATAAATGTTTTAATACGTCTCTTTTTTTGTGTGACGTCATAATAGCATTTATCGGTCACATAGAGTATAGAAAATATTGTTTTCCAAAACAAAACCAATCATAGATATTTTTTTAATCTGTTCCAAAGATTATTTGTATGTCAAATTTTTTTTAGTATAGTCACCTTTTTGTTTTCCAAAGAAAACGCATAATTTGGTGATGCCGTTCTCAACGAGCGCGCGCTTGACAACCGCTTGTGAGTCAGTCAGTAAGTAAGACACAGTCGACCGAACCTGTTAATAATAATTAATAAAATATTAACATTCTACAAAAAAAACGAAGAGTATTCGCAAAGGTTGTATTGTAGTAAACTTTGACGTGGGCACTGAATAAAAAAAAAACTAAGTGTCAACTAACGTCAATGTCTATTAAATGTCAGTGTGATGTTATTGTCATTGAAATGTCAATGTAAAAATTAATATTTGCTACAATACAGACCATCTCGTGTAGAGCCGACAGTTCCGTCTCATAGTTGATGTTAGCTGCTTCTTTGTCTGCCATGTTCTGAGTTTGATCCAGAAATCTTACAGCTGTTTCAGCTAGTTTAGCTGAAATATATTTGAATTACATATAAACATTACATATTATACTCTTATTCATGTATTCGTGTGCACTCAATTAATGTCTACTTTGTATGTCATGATTCTCTTGCACATTTGCTGAATGACTTAAGACATTCTAATAATACTTTATATATTTCATTCGAGTAGTTTACTGAGTCTTAAATATTAAACACTAGCTTTCCGCCCGCGGCGTCGCCCGCGTCGAGTGCGCTTATATCGCGTTTCCAAGAGAACCTTTCAAAAGTCTGGGATAAAAACTATGCTATATTCTTTCTCAAGGTCAACTCCATCTCTGTACCAAATATCATTAAAATCAGTTCAGTGGTTTAGGCGTGAAAGCGTAACAGACAGACAGACAGATTTACTTTTAGCATTTATAATATTAGTAGGAATATAATACCGCAACTCCGAACATTAAATGTGTCGTAACGTAGGTAACTTAGGTATAAGCTTCCAGAAAGTTCTATAACAGAAGAAATCTATGGAACATTCGAGAAGTTTAACCCACCGATGTTATTAGCGTAGGCGATGCGGACCGGAAGTGCGGGGTCCGAGGCTCGTGGCGCGAGTTCCGGGAGGATGTACTCCGGGAACACATTACAGTCAGACGAGGGCAGCACACGCACACATGACACACAGCGACACACGCACCAGATAGACGCCGCGCGGACACGTGGCTCCGGCGACTGGGATAAATATATCTGGAAATATCATAATATGGACCTATAATTGGGGAAATTATATGGATCATTAAGAATTTCTATCACAAACTTCTGTAATACATTCGATAAGAAAGCTTTTCCTAGTAAATATTGCGCAAAAAAATAAACGATAGCCAAAATTTATTTATCATGTGTTTAATGAGATCTAAGATTTTCGCGAGTACTCATTTAAATGAAACTAATATTTTCGTATTTACTACGCGATTTGTTATTTTTACAGATAAACTAAATACTCCCGACGTTTCGTGTACTTTACAGCAACCGTGATCAAGGACAGACGAGATGTGAGGGTCTGTCAATCGGTCTTGTTATTTGATAAAATAACAAAAATAAGTCGCCTAATAAATCCGAAGATATTAGTTTCGTTTTATGTATTTCAACCGTGATTTTTGATCGACCACATTCTGTTCCTTACAAATAACATCGTTTTAAATCAGATAACGATCTTAATCGCTAAAAACTTACAATGAAAGGCAATATCCTGTCCAATATGACTTCCGAGGTGGAATTCTCACATAACAGCTGAAGAATCTCCAGGCAGTAGAGCTTGGAGGTACAATGATGCAGGCCTCGGATGCATGACGTCACCAATGACGTAATCAATATCAACCCTTCACTATCGGGTCCCAGCTGTCGGTCATCTTGAGTCACTCCTTCCTCTTCCAAGTCGGTCACATTGACCTTCATAACCCTGAACCCTTCCTTCATCAGAGCGTCAATTTCAACCTTCTGGTTGTCAGTAGTCTCATCGACCAGGTCTTGGTAGTTCTTGGTGTTTGAAGTCTGTGTGAAGATTTTAATGATGTTCTTTATGTCTTGATGGATGCGTGTTATCTTCTCATCAGCGGGCAGTATCGGCTGGGCGGAGAATATCAGCATGTAGGATTGAAGGAACGAATAAAAGTATTCAGGGAATAATCTGTAAATATACATGTGTACATATATGAATGTACATATATGTATATGAGATCTAAACGCGGTAAAGAAATTGCATTTGTCAGTTTTTTCTAAGTTAGTAATTGAGACAAAGACCAATTAATAAACTGAAGTGATTGAGACAATGCGATCAATTAAAATAATGAAGATAATAAATTAAAAAAAAATGTTGTTTTTAGCTTGATTATAAGATTTTTTTGCTCGGGTTTGTATAAAAAACTATGATTTTTTGTGATAATAATAATTATATATTTCTGATCAAAATAGGTTTGTTCAAAAGACTTTCATTCTTCTCCATATGATAGGTTATAATTAATGAATGATCCAATCAGATACACAGTTTTACTGACATTATTAAATCCAAAAAATCTACATGGACTACAATCCCAAAAAATCTCAAACAGAAAGTACCATTACAATTACATAGTTTTTTTTTTACTAAATATGTTGCTTAAGGGTAAGATAAATAAATTGAACACAGTGACTAAATAAAACGACAAATAAAAAAGTAGACACGTTAACATGAATATGTTTGTAAAAGTAATAGATGTTTAAAAGATTTAAAACTATTAGTGAAACATACATAGTTAATAACCAGTACTCACGTGCCTCTCGCTTCATCCAGATATATCTCAGCGCTGCGTCTATCCTTCGGGTTTCTTTCAGTCATGGAGTGCAGTAAATCTCGTAGTAGGGGCTCGCAAGTGTCCGGCAGCGTCATAGTAGGGGGTCGCGGTTCACCGTTACGATAGGCCAATAACCCCGGCAGATCCAACGCTGGGGTACCATCGTTCCATAGCTCTAGTAGAGCGCATCTATAATTTTATATATTGTTATAAGATCCTCTGTCCTTGTCATACTAGTGGCCTTCACTACCTACATGTTCATTACAATAATAACATTAAGCGGAGGCTGTTGTGTAGATGAAGTCAGTTTTACTCACTTAACCAAGTGCAAATTTCTATATTGGTACATTAGTATCTTGGTATTTTGTAGCAATAACAAAAACTAAAGATATGTGCCCCCCTTTCCACGTTAACAAACTATTATAAACAAGGTGATCTAAAAACTAAGAGTCTTCTTTTTTTCATCTAAGTCAGAATGAAAGCAGCAGTAGTAGCAGCTGTTTTAAATCAGCAGACCAATATGAAATAGAGGGTTGATCTGAAAAGTAAGTAATTTGGGCACGGGTAACAAATTATTACAGAAAAGAAGTCACTTGTCCAAAATAGTTTGGGGATCCCTAATTTATATTGATTATAAGTGAAGTTCCTCCTAACAAAGTAAAATTTAATAAAAACGACGTGAAACAGGAAAATACGTTAGCGGATTACTACCATACAATGTTCGTTTATAACTAGGATCTGTTTCGATGTCTACTGGGAGAAAGTCGGAAGCAAAAGCTAGTATAATATATTTCTTGTAAGTGTCTATATAAAATATATGTTACTTATAATTAACATTACCCTGCAGAGAATATGTCCATACTGGGAACTAGTTCGCCCACTTTACAAGGAGACTCGCTTAGCAAGAGACCAGCATTTCTGTCATCACTCTGAAACAGTATATACAATTATATAAATAAATGACTTATAATAAAGAAACTACTTTAATATAATATTTAGATATAACATTATGCAAAATACAACATTTTTTTCACAGAAGGCCCATTTCAATATACAAAAAACTCACTGGAGGCCTAGCATTAGGGTCCGGAGCCCCCACAAATCTCTCCGGAGCAACATAACATAATCTTCTTCTGGAAGTATCAAAGAAGTAGCTAAAATCAGCTGGGTTGTCATCTGGTAAGAAGGTTGGTTTGAACGATGCTATGTCTGTCAGAAGCACCCACAGCCATGAAGTAACCATTATATTTTCTAGCTGCAAAAATGAAAGTAGAATCCAATTATTAAGTAAGTCCGTACTTGAAAACACTAAGCAAAACTATTTTTAAACAGATAGACCTTTAGACTCTCGTATTACAACACCACATTATAAATTTTATAAAATAGAGTGTATAATTAAATTAAATTTACCTTAATATCACCATGACATATGCCAAGCTTGTGCATCCGGTGCAAAGCATATAACACTTGGAATGTTATCCATTTCTTTTCCAACACAGTGAGAAACGGTCGTGTTGACATCCGGTCATAGACGCTACACTTAAGATACTCCCTGATAAGTAGTCCAGCCTTATCAGTTAGCTGAAATACATCTCATAATTAAACTTAGATAACTTCATGATAAAATATATAGTAATATGAATGTGAAAGTACTGCTTGTAAGAAAATACTTATTCCTAATAATATTTATCTTACATAAAGTGTGAATCAAAACCAAATTTATTTGTTTGTCTATAATAAAAAAATATATATGTATATTAATAAATAACATACTATAACTCTCTGAAACGGCAAACAATTGAATGCCGAAGCCAGTTGCTCTTTGATTTTCAGAATTCGTTCCTTGTGTTCAGCAAGAGGTAATGATGGATCGTGGACAGCAAATACCTTCACTACTACCAGACCTTCACGGGTACGAGCTCGGGCTACTTTGAAGAACCTCGTTGAACCAAGGCTAAAACAGTTTACAATATGAATAACTTCTATCACACTCATTTAAGATTTATTTAGCTAAATTCACACAAAATTGTTGAATTAAAATAATAAATTATTTTGAGAAGATATTTTAATGTCAAATGTGTAACAGAAAACATACAAAAGAGATGAATTTGCATTCTAGAATGATAAAAAAAATTATTGTCTTGAATTACATACCTCTGATCAAACGTCAAGTCTACATGGTCGCTCAAATAGTGTTCCACGGGGAATATTTGAGAAGGAGCGACACCTACAAGCTGGTTTCCCATATTTGTATATACTTAAATAAGTAATGAAGAAACTGATGTGGTATTTATCTTTGTTTAATTAAATTAGTGAAAATCACATTTTAAGGATAAATACACGAGGTATACTTTATTCTTGTTGTTTTAAAATAATTTCTACCCTGTTAGCAAAAATTTATTCTAATATTTTAAAATTACACAAAACAATGAAATCACTGAGTTTCAGCTTGTTTTGACTTTTACTATACTTTGACAGTGACGATTTAACAAACATGAAACAGATGACTCTGACATTTTAAGGTAACGTGTTAAAAATAAAACAAATATAAATTTTGTTTTAATACACAGTGATCTAATAATTGTAAATTAATAATACAATAACATTACATAGTGTTAAGAAAAGCGATTTATCTTTATTTTGATTCCTAAATCATTATTTTCATAGTTTGTATACCATAGAGTTGTCAAATAGCTAACAACTCATGTCTCACAGTCATCAAATACCAACTTCACTTTGTTCGATTGTCACTTTTGCTTTATGATCTGTCTTCTACAAATAAGCAGTATTTCATATCCACCCTTATTTTTCTATTATCAGCTGCTTAATCACAGAAATGGCTTCTAAAAGTGAAAAAGATCGTGCTAAACAAATTCAAGATCGATGTCAGAATATCTTGATTCAATTACTTAAAGACGAGGACAATAAATACTGTGTTGATTGTGACGCTAAGGGTAAGCTATTTCTTGTTTTATTTTATTTTTATTTTATATACATTTTGGCATTATCATTTATATCATACCTTTTTATAACTTTCAAGGTTGAAAAATCTCTTACTTATATTTTTAATTCCATTTACTAAGGTTTTTGAACTTTGCGTTTCAATTCTTCATTTCGGTTTGATTGACTCACACTATCTCGTAAAACAATACGTTTCCGTTATCTATTAATCTAATTTATGCTCAGGTTTCAATTCGTCAATAATTATCGCGTCTAACAGCATGTAATAAATAATATTGATAAATTTATTGGGGAGGAAACCCAACAAATTGTCATGGTCTCAGATATGAATGACCTATTGTCATAATAAATGTAATACATTTATAACTTTGATAAAATAAATATTTAATTATGTTTTTTTACTTATAAGTAATAACTTATCATCTAAGTTTTGAGAAGACAGCAAATATAAAAAATCAATATAACTATATGTGGGTTCAGTTATTCCAGCTTTAGAAAACTTTACACTTATTTAGAAAAAGAATGAATGTGTTCCACTTGAAGTTTGATTTATTTTTAATTACCTTATTTACATAATTGACTATTCATATGATAAAAAATTTATATAAAAACTTTTTATATATAAATATATTGAAATAACCACATGCTGGCATAATTTCTGTATTGTATTTAGATTATATAAGTTTTACTGACTCACTATATTTAATCCCGACATTTTTTTATCTCACATCTATAAATGAAAAACACATACTAAAATACTTATCCCACTTACACACACCAAATATATAAATAGATTAAATGTTTCACAAATCTAGATTTTAAAAAAAGGCTTAGTTGAAAAAATCTTCAAATAAAATTTGTATCTGGGTATTTTTATTACATAATAATTTATTTACATACAAATAAAATGAGCACCTCATTATTTAAAATCAGGTTAAAACATAGCAATATGTATTAAAATTCTCAGAATAGTTAGAAAGTGTGAAAAATTTTACCTAACTGTCATTATGAGTCATAAATGTATAATGCTGTGTAAATTTCATAATGTAGCCAAATAAACGACTATTCTAGTAGATAATTGGTTGAAGCATTAAATATTAATAATATGACAAGGTGATATTCATTTAAAGCTTTTTATAACATGTTTTATTTCACAATTTTACTAATATATTAAGTAGACTCGGTTAGTGCATGAATTTTTTAGCCAACAAAGAAGTAATGACGATTTTAACACCTATGCAATACTACATTAGGTACCTAAGGGATATTATTATTCTTTGATTCATAATGATTTTCTCAGACCTTAAATAAACCCTATATTTTATTTTGCTGCATGTTGGTATGTAAAAGAACATGTATGTATTTTGCTAACAGCTAATTGTAGTTTGTAAAACATTTGTTTTTTTTTCATAAAAAAGGATCATAAAGTATATATATTTAGGGATTTATCATAACAAAGATTATATTAAGGAAATAGAAAAAAAAATCATGTCTTTGCACATTTACCAGTAACTCCTTGCCTTTTATTGCAAAAAATAAAATTTAAATACAATTTTTTATTAACTTACTTAGCAAGTATATGTGGTAATTATATAAGAACCCAAAAAAAAGAATAGCTGATAGGAATATAATCTGTTCTGCTTGTCCAATAAAGATGCAGATATTTGAAAAATCTCTATATAAGTTTATTTCCTGATGAGCTCAGATAATGGCTTGTATTAGATTTTCTTATTTAAGTATTCAACAAATTAAGAGAAATCAATAAACAATCAAACTAAGCCAATTTTTTAAAACAAATTTTATTGAGACGGTTAAAATCTTCCAACATTGTCATTAATGTATAAGCTGAAATAACTAGTGTCAATAGATTATTATCAATATAGCAGATAGTGTTGTGATTATCTTCTATCTCAATCTTGCTGTCATATACTGTCAGAACCTCAAGATGTTTTTTATACCAATTAACTGAATAATTTCTATAATTTAATTCTATATAATGCAATTAATTAGCTACTCAACTATTTTTACACTGGTCATGATTAAATATACCACTCTAAATACTAATATCTAGTCTTCAAGATCACAAAACTAAATAGAGACGTGTCTGACGTAAGATTATCATGGATGAAGCATTAATTTATCTAAATGGCTATTTTTATATTTTTTACTGAATCAGCTTCTCCATACTATGTTAATTTCTATTTACAAACCTTCTCTTGTTAAGTGAATTTGAAGAAATTAATGGCAAAACTTTTTAGAACCTAAGCCAAAAGGAGTGCAATATTTTCTTATACTACATTAGTACATTTATTAAGTGTGCCTATTTTTTTTTAACGTAATAGAGTTGAGCAAGTCCAAAACATGGCTTGATATTATTTTTGGCTAGCGAGATTATGACCGCAAGAATAAATTTCGTCAAAAGTTCAAGTGGTCCTACATATGACAACGTTGAGATTTTTACGTTCTTTCTTTTTCATACTTGAGGTTTTTTGGTAGGGAGTCAAAAAAAGTAAAAACTCACATGTTTGATAGACTTTAATAAGATCACAATTATTTACGTCTATGAATGGAAAAATATGAAATTGTCTTTTTGTATGCAATTCTTTTCAATTTGATGAAACACTCAAAAAGCCTTAAATCTTGTTAAGAGATCTGTAACAACATTTTCTGTCGGATAAATAAGGAGACAATTTTTTCTGAAAATGTACTGCTTTGCTTATTTATTTTATACATATAATCGTGCAATCACCTACAATTACACCAAAATTCAATGTTATTTATATTAAGGTTTTCAATAGAAATAGCTACTTGGCGTTTAAATTACCTTTCGTCACACTAATTTTATTTAATGAAATATTATTACTTTTTATTTGTTTGTTATTACAAAACACACCAATTATATGTATAAATAAAAGATATAACTTAGTTCTAGGTTTCCTTACTTATGTTTTCAAGCTATTTTGACGTTTGTCTAGAATAAGCCGTGAAAAAAATGGCACCAGCATGTAATTCTTCAAAGATTTTCATTGATATTGCAGTGATAATTAATCATATCACTAATTACTAATAAAACCATAGAAATAATTTAATGCAGTCTTGTTATGTCGTTAAGTAGATCCAGTGAAATATAAAATAATAGGTCTAATTCAACTCAATCATCAGGTCCCCGCTGGGCGTCATGGAACCTTGGTATATTCCTCTGTATTCGTTGCGCTGGTATACACAGAAACCTTGGGGTCCACATCTCCAAGGTAAAGAGTGTCAATTTGGATTCATGGACAGCTGAACAAGTGGTGAGATTTTTTTGCAACTTTTTGGACATTTTAAACATATATTTTCGTTATTTCTTACGACAAAATCTCCCAATTAAATTTACATTTTCCAAATTTGTATTTTCCAGGTATACCTTCAACAGATGGGCAACTCTAGAGCTCGTGCTGTCTATGAAGCCAATCTGCCCGACTCGTTCCGAAGACCTCAAAATGACACTTCATTAGAAGCCTTCATTCGCGCCAAATACGAGCAGAAGAAATACATAGCGAAGGAATGGGTTCCTCCAACTATGCCGAAAGTGAACTGGTTAATATTTTGTTCCTATAATATTTTTTCAAACTTTTATCTCTTTTATTTTGTCTATTCAGAGGATTTTTATTGAAGTGAAACTTCTAAAGCAACCAACAGGGTTATGATAAACGTTCAACGCTTATGGGAAGGGGGAATAGAAAGAGACGGTACGAGAGTAAATGAGTTTGTCAATTGTTAATTGTAATATTTTCATTTCCACATTACGCAATTACAATTCTTACGTGTGGAGGGGCTCCACGCACTAATTTTAATACCTTACTATGCTTCAATTCCTGTTACATTTTAATAATGTGAATTATGTTGTACAGACCATTACTTTGACTACTAGTGATCGCAAAATTTTCATTACAGGGATAAAGAAATAGACGAAGAATTAGAAAAACAGAAACGTAAGAAAAGAGCTACAACATCCGGCCTGGGACCGTTACCGGCTCCGTCAGCTGATAAGAAATATAATGTAAATATTTTTTAATAAATATTATTATACATCGCCCCAAAAGTATTAATTTAATTGCATTTTTTTCATGTTCAATTTGATAACTCGTGTATCTGCTATTGCATTTCAGAAATCTGATGTGATTCCAAGTTTACCGAAACCAAAATCGTCAGTCAGTCCCAAATTGGGCAGAAATACGCCAACCAACCAAGTAGAGACGAAGACGTCTGATGCGTCCGCTGATCTTTTAGGCTTAGATACAAAACAAGAAACAAAACCTACGAATAATGATGACATATTCTCAAGTTTCTTCTCAGCACCTCAGGAAAAACCCGCTGAAACCAAACCGGCGGAAGTCAAGCCAGATCTTAAGACTGAAGAGGAAAATTTCTTCAAACAACCAGTTCCAACGGAAAAAGAGAAATCAAAACTCACTAAAGACAGTATACTTGCTCTGTATAGCCAAACACCAGCGAATACATTAGCGAATCAATTCAACCAAGTGCAACCCCAACCTGGTAATACTCTAGCCAACCAATTTAACCCAGTCCCGTCTCAACCTGGCCTGGCAATGGCCAATCAGTTCGCAGTACCACCACAACAATCTAATAATCTAACCAATCAATTCAATCCTGTCCAACCACAAACCGGTAATCTAGGTAATCAATTCAACCCCGTCCAATCCCAGAGCGGGGCATTCGGGTTCGGTCAAGTCTACCAACCACCACCACAAACAGCATTCAACAACATGAGTATCCCTAATGGCATGCAATCTTTCAACCAATTTCCATCAATGGCAAATCAATTCCAGCCGTTCCAGAATCAAATGTCCCAACCCTTACCCCAGCAGGCGTTTCCACAGAACCAGCAATTCTTCAATGCACAACAGCCACCGTTATCTCAACAGTTCAGCGGACTGAATCTAGGCCAAGGTTTCAATGCATTCCCACAGAATCCTAATGTTGCAAGCAATATATGGCAATAATGACACAATTTTTACATGCATTGTAGATATCGCAAAGTTTTTGAGCATACCTTTATTAGGTAGCGCCCAAGTGAGTCCCAATAGCCTTATATTTTTTTTATATTGTTGATGTAGATGTCAAGTGACAAGTTCATGATACTATAGACAATAATTGTCGCTCTCAATAATGGAGGCATTTTTCCTTTTTTTGTTCTAGTTATTTATAAAAGTTTACTTAGAAATTACAGCGTTTTATCACCGAGACAGTTTTTAATCCTTTTTTTTAGGTATTTGTATACTTTTTAAAAATAATAATGTTTTACTGGCTAATTTATGTGTGGACTGTCGTGTATACATTCTCTTGATACTTAAATTAGTATTAGATTTATTTATTTTTATGTATCCCAAAATAATAATTTTGTCAAAATGGCATCTATATATTAAATTGATTGTGGTTTATTAAATATCATCTGTCAATTTTATTCGCAGTCTCGGTGTGGCGATTTAAAAAAAATCAAATTATATTCGTATTTTCTTGTGCAATTAAATTATTTTTTCCGTATACACCTATTATTATAGAAATTATATTTTTTAATAACTACTTTACACATTATTTTAATTATATTATGCACGTTTTAAATAAGTTCTTAGTGTTGTGTGTATGTATATAATTATAGTATTATATTGATTCCCGATTTAACAGTAAATAATTTTAGGTTATGTCCCATTATTTCTGAGGACCAAAGCAATAGAAAGAATATAAATTATGTATATAACAAAATATTCGTGTTTAATGAATGAAATTAGAATTTAGATATTTCATAAAACATCCTGTTATTATAAAGCTTATCGGACTTTTCCTCAAAGAATATAAATGTTTTTTTTTATAAAGAATTTTATTTTGTCAACAGCCAGACCCGTTGAATAATAAATATGACTCAGTTCAATTTAAATATTTATCTTGCTTTTAATTTCACAATATATATAATTACTTCTTAAATCTCAAAACATTTATATATATAATTTGTGTATGTTTATTGCTGGAGTACATGTGGTGCATTGGTGTAAAATTTACTTAATTTTTTTTAAATATCGTATGTAAATTGTGTAAGATCTTTATTCATTTATGTCCGTCGCCATTTTGTTATAAGTTATTGTAATTATTTTGAGTATTAAATATGTTTATTTTTTAAATAAATCACCTTTTTATTGAAGTGTTTATGTATGTTATTCGATACCCACAAGGATTCATAGTAAATAAATCATATTAAATCTCAATTGAAATATTTTTTTAACTAAAATCAACAATTCCATAGCCTTTCCTTTTTTCGTACGCACTTAGCAAATGTGGAAGAAGCTCTCCACATTTTATATTTTAAATTTGATTGAGGCTTAAACTATAGCAATTGTGATAAAAACAGTATAAAACTTAACAGAATTCGCAAGTGATCGTCGAAAGGAATTTTATTTGACTGTAAAAAAACTTTATTCAGTGTCTGATCTAACCAGAGTACGTGTTAAAAATTTGAAAAGTTTTGATTGATATATAATTTTAAGACGATTACGAACCCTTATTGAGGGTTATTATTATTATTCGTAATTCCTAGTATTTTTTAAATATTTACTTTGCTTACACGCTTAATAGTGTCCAGCTCAATAATACACTATTAATTTCTGATATATTAACATTTATAAGTATAATTGAACATCAAAATAAATACCTATATATTACTAAAGAAATAAACGAATTACGATAAACCCTGTCCAAATTTCATACTTGAGACTTAACAGTTGTGACTTGACTTTGTATTAACGGAACGTAATTGTTGGTTTCTTTAGATTTGTTGCTTCTTTTCGTATTTAAATAGAACTATTTAATGATTACACTTAATTTTAATGTTATCGTAACCTTGTTCTCTTGAACGTGACATTGAAAATACAATGGCAAACAGGTAAGATAAAATTATTTCATTAATTTCATTAAAATTGACATATAAATAAAATTTCACTTAGTTTTGGCGCGCGAGGCCATGTTGACGGAACAGCTGTTGAAGCGTACAAACATAATACTCATAGTTTTTTTATTGTGAAGTGGAAAATGTTTAAATAGTGTAAACAATGTTTCATAAGATGGAATCGATACACATTTAAAATAGGCTAGTTCGTGATAATGTATTAGGAATAGCTATTTTACAACCATGGCTTGTGGATCCGAGAATTACGATGATTGTGACATTTTATCTTTGGAAGAAAGAGAGTTTAATGTGAAATGGAGCAGATTCTCTGAATGGCTGCATTGTATATGTGTGGTAACCTTCGACCTGGAGTTGGGTCAGGCAATGGAATGCGTTTATCCGCCAGGAGTTAAATTAACGGATCAAGAAAAATGTAATATTTGTTACTTAGCGTTCCCGGATTCAAATTCAGGTTGCATGGGTGACACACAATTTCACGTAAGACTGCGAACCCGTGCTCGACTAACGCCACAGCAGTTAAGTTATAACGAAGATAGCGTTTCTACACTTCGTGCGGACTCCACGCATTACTGGGGCTTCGTTTATTTTCGTCAAGTCAAAGATACTTCGATACCGCGTGGATATTTTCAGAAGAGTATAATTCTATTGACACGATTGCCATACATCAATTTGTTTTACAAAGTGATACAGTTAATAGCACCAAGACATTTCGAAGATGGTGAAAGAAGTTTAGAAGCCGCTTGTCACGATATTAATCGGTGGCCGCCCCTTGACGCGGGTCATAATTTTCTTTTACCTGTCCTAGGAACTGTTTTCCAGTCTTACATCCCTAATCAACAAACTGGTAAAGTTATGAGGTCAGATATAATAAAACAAATTCATTCACCAAATATTCCTCATATAGTGGCTTCTATTCAAGATGTTAATGTATTTGATGCTTTGTCCAGTGTGATTTCTCATTTACATTTATTATGGGAGTTAGTTTTGACGGCAGAGCCTATTGTTGTAATGGCAAGCTCTCCTACAGAATGTTCATCCCTAGTACAGGCACTTACATACTTAATCCAGCCTCTCTCATATTCAGCGGAATACAGGCCATACTTTACTATCCATGACAGTGAATTCAAGGAGTTCACTAGAAAACAATTCAATCCGCCATGTGTAATACTAGGTGTTACAAATCCATTCTTCACAAAGACCTTACAGCATTGGCCGCACACTATTAAACTGAGTGACTCAAGTTCAGTTAAAACTAAATTAAGAAAAGTTGGTAATATGAAGCAGTTAGATACTGCGCCTGGCGTTTATACTCAGTACAAACCATTTTTAGAGAAAGACAAAGCTATCATTAAGAAACTTCACAATGGTATACGATCTGATCGCCCGTCAGAGGTTCAAACAGCAATGGTAAAGAGACACCTTCTAGAACTTACTCAGAGCTTTATGATTCCATTGGAAAGATACATGGCATCATTAATGCCTCTTCAGAAGAATATATCACCATTCCGAGCAGCACCAATTCCAAATCCTTTCAATCCCGAAGACTTCTTCTCTACCCTACAGCAAGCTGGACCCCATTTGACAACAGGGATTAAAGGAGATTGGATAGGCTTATATAGAAACTTTTTCAGAACACCAAACTTTAGCGCATGGTTTCATGAAAGGCATAAGGATCTTACAAATAAACTACAAGCATTACAATTGGAGGCATTAGCTGGAAGTGACTTGAAGGTATGGTCGGTGGGTAAGAAAGAGGTTGAAATCGTAGATATGGTGTTAAAACTGAAGGAAGTTTTGAAAAATGATGTTCCAGTGGCTGGAAATACTCGTACACTATTGTCGAGACAACTGGAGGATCTTAATGGTGTACTCGCTGAGGATATGAAGTCGTTACTAAATGCAGCCTCGTGACAAACGGTTTGCTGCACCTCGGGATCGAGAGGTTGCAGCGTAGACTGCAGGTTTCAATTGAAAAACTACTACACAGCTATCGATTGTATATGAATAGGCATTTCGATATACAAGTTATGTGACAAATTATGCATAATTGCAATGCTATTAAATGTAAATATTCATATTTTTATGTATATATGTGAATGTGAGTTTTAAAGATTATCATGCTAAGCATCTTCCTTACTGTCTTTCCTTTGGAATTTTGTTTTTTAAGAGATTTAACCAAATTAATCCTTATACAGCACTTGTTCATTTACCATAACTATGCATTATTAAACTTAAAACAGTGCCCAAGTCTCTATTTATTGTCATGTGAAGATTTATAAAATATTGGAAACTATGTTTTGTGTTTAACTAGATAGAATTTTATTAAAATTGTGTGTAGTATGTCTTCGATCATTTCAAACTTTCATTATTTGCCTCTTCATTCAAGTTAATTACTTTATTAATAATAAATGAAATTAATATTCTCGGATAACCATACATTTTGTTATTTTAAAAACTAAATACGCCTGAGGTTTCAGTTACTTTTCAGCAAATGTGATGACGGACAGACGAGAGTGCATTTCATTAATATTTTCCTAAATTTTATAGATTAAATAGTAATTGTAATATATTTTTTGAACTTTGTTTTATATAATGTATTTTGTTTTAGTCTTATCATAATAATGACTCTTCCCATACATTAGGTATAGAAATAATATATAAATATTTCTATTAGAAATAATCCTTTTGTTAGTTGTTATAAACATATATATTATGTTGTTTCTTACATAGTAATAGATGTAAAAAATGGTAAAGAATAAATTTTCTTCTATATAAATCTTACTGAAATCCTAAAAAAAATTGTCTAAAATTTTATGTACAGCTGATATATTTATATTTGATTATTTTTTAGGGTGTGTTCAGAATATAAATTGTATAATTTAGCTCTTTAAATATTATAGTTAATAAATAAATAAATTTAAAGAGTTGATATAATGTGTATGTATCATTAATGTTATGAATCTCCTATTAAAATATGTCATTTATGGAATCCCTCCAAACTTATCATATATAGATAGAGCTATAATAAATTACCAACAGAGTTATAGGAGTTAAAAATTAACATATATTTTGTATGTTGAACCACATAGTACATTATAGGGATGATGTATTTAAGTTTCATAGTTTCTTTTCTCATTGCTCAATCTATAAATGCTTTAATGTAACAAATCCCATCATAAATTGTGACCTCAATATGCCTGGTAACAAACTATATAAGAGATTTTCTGGTTTTGAATTAGATAATAGTACTTATAAATGTAAATAATATTAGATTAATATTGTAGTATGGAATAAAATAACATTTGAGAACAAATAGTTTTATTTATTAGATGTTTGTGCTACTCCTGACTTCAACGATGGGCATGGGTTGGCGCCAAGAACCAATGTGATACACACCATTAACTAGCGTTGGGACATGGGAAATAAGTCCCAAGCACTCGGTAGATCCATCGGTGGAAATTTTCGTAACGAATTAAAATAACTAATATTTACAATTAGGTAAAATCTGACTTCACATTCTTATATATCTCGCCTTACTCCAAATGTTGTCATTATCGGTGACCAAAGTGTATATTCCTGCTAATGTGAGTCCGGCTACTGCACCGAGGCCCATAGAACGGAGTCCAGAGGTGCTCTTGTATAACATGCCGGTAGCAGTTGCCGCTATAAATGTGTTGGCTGTGTCCTCTTGGTCTCGTAACCAGGTAACTCCTAGGGCCAGCGTTGAGTAGAAGGACGCGAGAATGCCAAGGGTACACCCAGTTGTAGTACCTGCAATAGAAATAGATAAAATTTATTTCATACAATATTTGATGTTATGGAATTGTTGCTACTATTAGTTAAATGTAAAGATTCTTTTTTTACTTTCACTTAATTTTCATTCTAATAATAAAATCAGGGTGATATTCAATCTAAGTAGAATCAATGATATTTTTGGTATGAATGTTGAGTTTCTCAAATCAAAAACTTACACAATGTATTTTGAGGCCAAATATGTAGAGATCAAGAAAATTAACAACATTTTTCAAACTTCAAATATAACATTTGATAATTTACTATTTCATTTTTTCATGATTAATAGGAGTACGACTTATTAAGTGTCAGTAACAGTTAAGGGAACACACTCTAAAAAGAATTGGATTTTAATAAATAAAAATTGTGCACATTATTGATCAACTGCTTTCAAATTGAAGTACCTCTGAAATCCAAGTGTGAATGTATTTAATATGTATCACTCACCCTGTTTCATTATATAATTAATTAATTGTGTTCGTCGGACTTTGCCAGTCTGTCCAGCAAGTGTGGTCGCTCGTAATCCCTTGTAGAGACCGGCCATTCCTCCCATACCTACAAGAAATAGGATAGTCACAGTTTATATCTCATTGGAGCATTTATAACTATTTAGTATTGATTATTCTCTTATGATAAATAGTGTTGTATTTATTATTGCATCATTTCCTAATAATTTTAAATATTGCTGACATACAATGACAACAAATTTTTACCTACATAAATATAAATTAATTAATTAATGTAAACTTATCACTTCTCAATTAGCACATAACTTCAAAGACTATATAGTACCTATAAATATATTTATTGATAAGTTACGTAAAATGCGTGAGGTTATTACCTGATCCTGTCATAAAGGACATGCCGATGATAGGAAGAGCTACATTTGAACGTCTCGCAGTCGAAGCCATATGACTCTCATCAGGATAAAGGAATTCTGGTTGCATTTTTGGTATATAGTTAGGGTCAAAGTTTAAATATGGGGAAAGACTTGCGCTAGCTTGTTTGTTTTTGTCTTCATTCTTGTTTATCGGTAATATATCACTAAGTAACGACATTTTCGATTTTTTTTGTACACTATATTAAGGAAATAATAAAACTATTTGTGATTTAGTAATCACGCATGGAATTTACAAGGGTTGAATTCGAAACGTCATTCGTGAATCGATCTGTCGCTGTCATTCGATTTTTTTCCTTGGTAGCACAGATTATTAAGGTTTTTCTTATTTTAAAACTATTCATCAAAAGTCTCGATGTATTAATAATTATTAATATTTATATCTTACTTGTTACAGAGCAGAAAGAACTCCCGATGAAGTAAGGAAAGTTATAAAAACGGCAAAACTTCACGAGTCTGAATTAACTGAGATCACCCAAGTATTAAGATTGGCTGAACAAAATGTTCACAATTTAAATTTGAAACTGATGCTTCTAGATGATAATTTGCTTAAAGAAATAGAAGCAGGGAACCAGTTAATATTTAAAGGTAAAGTAATCAATTTGCTTAGGATTATAGATATACTTCTTAAAAAAAAATTACAACTCCTAAAATTGTTTAAAGGTGATGTTGATGAAAATGCTGTTTTGTGTACACAAAGCAGAACCTACGATATTAAGGAGGCTGAAACTTCTAACTCTCTCCATCTCGTTCCTGATCTGCTGTTTGCAGCTTCAACCGGTGTAGACGACACTATAGCTAACAACTCCATGGACGGAGAATCAGATTCGTCTTTCGACACATCGAATGCGAGTTTAAATAAATCAACAGATTCAGACGACGGTAGACCACCAAGGAGTATAGTTCACAAAGATATATTAAATACATTTTTTACGTATTACGAAGTAAAACCGTGTAAACCACGGCTGCTTAAACTACAAAAACTATTAGAGGAAACTTCATATCGCGGCCTGGAATTAGAGTATGAAGTGGATAAAACAAAGTTATTAACGTATGACGCTATATTTGATGTCGTCCAAGCTTCTCAAGCGGAGTTAGATGAGGAGTTATTGAGGTTGCAGGCGTTGAAAATAGGAGATCATTATCGATTACTAGATTTTGATTACGAGTTTAGAATCCTATCATACATGCTGGATCTGATAGAAGAGAATTCGTGGCCATTAAATAAAATATCGAAAGAAATTACTTTGGATAGCTTGAAGGACTTAATGCCTGCCTGTATTTTGGAAGCAATGTTTGGATTTTATACTACGGAATCGGTTGAAGAAGACGGAACGAAATACTACCAGTACAAAGAAGATAAAGTTTGCCGATTTTTGGCGCGAGTGCTCTTGAAAAGTGCGGGGAAGTTTAATTTAGTAGAATTTATGCAAGCGTGGCGGGATTCTGTACCGGAAGGAATGATAACACATGTAAGTTCAATTTTTTCATTATTCTGTGGTATATTTTCTATACTTATGATTGTTTTTTTTACAGAAATCTATGCTGGCTGGTATAGCGATAATAGATGAATCCTCACAACCATCAGTTATATGGGGTTTCTCAGCGGGTGATCTGCCTGAAGACTTGAATCAGCGGTTTAAGATTCTGTTCCAAGCGAAAGCGAAATGGACCCTTCCGGAAATATCGCCGTATATTGAGTAATGTCTTTATTAATATTTAAATATAAAACACCAATACTTTTGTTGTATTTCGAAGTGGTACTTCTGGATAGTTTTATAAATAAAATTAAAGAAACATAATAATCTAGGTAAAAAGTATTTAATATGTAGTAAAAAAATGACGGTGAAGCAAAGCATCGTGTGGAAACCTGGACTTATAATTTCACAATTTTAAGTTTAAAATCACTAACCCGTGTTGAGCAAGCGTGGTGATTAATGCTCAAACCTTCTCCATGTGAGAGGCCTTGCTCAGCAGTGGGCTCTGATAGACTGATGACTAAAACAATGTTAGATTTATTTATGTTTTTGTTAATCTCAAAATGCTATCAATGGAAGGGAGAAGAAATTTAATTGAATTATATACTATATAGGTGTATGACGTCATCATTATAGTTTTAATTAATCTTGTTTCAGATTATATGCCACTGAGAAATTAAATGTTAACGCCCTATTAACTAAGTACGCACGCGCTTCAACACAAGATGGCGTCAGAGTATTTTCTGCTAAACATATGAAATAAATATAACTGTACTTCATAAGGGTGTTTAAATTAAACTAAGTTTGATTATAAATTATACATTTATTATTTACAGGACAGCACATACATAACTTATGTCTATATATAACCTAAAGAGCACAGCCTTTTAATTTCAATACACCACAGTGTTGCCAGGATAAGATCTCGTAAAATAAATCTATAGAAGAAATTTTTTGAATAGTCAACATATTTTAAGACCGATAGTTACAGTATAATCTCATTTAAGCTTAATCGAATAGTGTTTGAATACATCTTTGGTGTTTTAGGATTTCTGTACATTAATCCTCAGTTTATTTAATTCTTCCCACATTTCGTTGGGAAGATCTTCTCCTACTTCTTCCTTGAAATACTTCTCGATGGCATCAGCCTGCAAATAAAATATATAGTAAAATTATTTAAGACCTCTTCAGGTAAAAGCTCATAAATTGTTGTATAGCAATATTCTTATTTTTTTTTGGAATGATAAGAATGTAATATATTTTTGTAAGAATTTTTCTCATTCATCTTGTTTATTTCTCTGGAACGTGTAAAATATCTTTAAAAACACAGTTTCAGCTTCGCAAATAAAAGTATTTGAATTCAACTGCACATACATATATTTTTTTAAATATTTTATACTAGTTTTTGCCCGCGACTTCGTGAGCATTATTTATCGGTTACAAATTGACTTATATCGAATCTAGTTAATGTTCAAGTCCCTTACCTCTTGCAGCCAGAAGTCTTTAGGAATGCTGAACAGTTGTTTCATATCAACTGAACCAAGTCCGTTAGTTTGTATCGCGTCCTCGGTCGGTATGTAGCCGAGTGGAGTTTCTTTGGCGCAGGGCTCGTCATCACAACGACGCAGCACCCAGTCCAATACACGAGAGTTCTCGCCGAAGCCAGGCCAAAGGAATTTACCCTGGGGTAAAAATAGTAATTTTGAGCAATAGAATCAGAATTTTAGGGAATAAGTATGGTAAACATAGTAATTTTGAGCAATAGAATCAGAATTTTAGGAAATAAGTATTGTTTGAAACTATAATATGGTTACATAAGCTGAACTTTCTTTCAGTTTAATAAATGTATGAATTTTTTTATGTCGACCAAAAAAGTATTCAATTTAATATCTAAAAACACATGAACAATGCCATCGACTTAACAAAGGCTAATTACGTTTTACTGGACACATTTTTAGAACATATGTTAATGTAGTAATTTATGTCAAATTTATTTACTTATTACTACTCAACAGGCTAGACTGTAAATTTAAAGTATTGCATACATTATAAGAAAAAAATTGATACTTGACAGTCTTCTTCCTGGCAATCTCCTAGATTAAGCCGGGGTCTGCCTAATGCTCATGATACTTGACAGTACTTTAGAGATATTTGAATTAGTTCAGAAAATAGTTGGTTAATATAAACGTACCTGATCATCCTTTCTGAACCAATTGACATGGAATATTTTGGGCATGTGTCGTCCTTGTTGCGGCATTGACAGCCAGTGACGGAGGTAGTCGCCGAAGTTGTAACCGAAGAACGGACGCATAGCGAATGGGTCGTGCATCACTACCTTACCCTGACAATATAAAAGATTTACATAAAACAACCAAAAATATAGACTGGAAATAATGAAGTAAAAGGAGATTTAAGAGTCAAATCATCTGCCAATAATCATGGTTGTTAAGCAACCGAATAGTCGGGTATGCAGTTTTTAATACGCTTTTATAAGCTTGGATTGTAGCTGGCTATAATGGAATATTTGAGCGGAATTTGTACTGAAATCTAATCTATTTGAAACTTTTGCATATCAAGGACAGGTGACAATTCAATAATTTGATAACAGTTATTTATTTCTTACAATAATAGAATACGGGCAGTATAATCCCTACTATAATATTATAAATGCGAAAGTAACTCTGTCTGTTTGTTACGCTTTCACACTTAAATAACTGAACTGATTTTAATGAAATTTGGTACAGACATAGAGTTGACCTTGATAAAGAACATAGGATAGTTTTTATCCCAGACTTTTGAAAGGTTCTCTTGGAAACGCGATATAAACGAACTCCACGCGGGTGAAGCTAGTCCCTAATATATTAGTATCATAAGTCTCACAGCATGTTCAGCAGCAGCGGTTGCTTCAGAGCGCATGCTGGCTCCCATGAAGACCCCGTGCTGCCAGTCCCGGGCTTCTACCACGAGAGGCACACCCGCCGGACGACGACCTCCTAGGAGAATAGCTGATATCGGCACTCCAGCAGCACTCTCCCAACAATCGTCTATGATGGGGCACTGAGAGGCCGGCGTGCAGAACCTGGAGCTATAACTTGTTAAATAACAAGGAATATACGAGGAAAGTCTAGTATGGACTATACAGTATACTCTATAGCATGTTTGGGTTAGATAAGAAGGAAGATAGGAGAACAGTCAAGTATGGTATTGGGCATGTGTAGCGAAAACTGCTTGAAAGTTGTTTATGAAATTGTCCTTAAAATATGATACAGAGTTTTAAATTATGCTACAATCTAAATTCCAATTAAAACAAATGTAAGTTTCAAACAAGGAAGTATAAAATAATTATCTTTATATACATATAATTCGTCTGTGAGTGTGTATGTCACTGAACTTCTCTCAAACGACTGGACCGATTTTGATAAAAACTTTTGTGTGTGTTCAAGGGGATCTGGGAATGGTTCAGGTTCACAATTTTGTCCGCTGGATAATGTTTTTTTAATTAACTTTTAATTTATTAGTAGTTGTTGATACAAACGTTTTTTTAGAAAACGTTTTTTTCAACATTAGATTTGACAACTAACTAATATGTCAATCATTCTGTCGCACTTCAAAACACGGAGATTTATGGCTTTGATAGGTAAACTCCAATAATATAAATAAAAAAACGTAGCAGATATTTCTTAATTATAGAGCGATACGAAGTTCACCGGGTCTTCTAGTTATTTATAATAATCCAATGTATCATCACATTTAGATCTGATTTAAACGACTTATCCTTAACATTTATGGAAGGTAGACGTATATCTACACCTTATTATAATATTATCGTACCTTGAGTTAGGATGCGCGGCCGGGGTCTTCTTGCTGGGGTCCCACGGCTGTCCCTTCCAGTCTATGAGAGCCTCGGGAGCTTCCCCCATTCCCTCCCACCATACTCCACCGTCAGCAGTCTCCGCTACGTTCGTGAACACTGTGTCACGGAAGATAGACTCCATGGCTATTGGATTTGTTGATGAAGACGTTCCTGGAAAATAATGATTCGTTATACTATTAAAAGTAGACCCTGAGGCAGGCAGAAAATGGCTGATTCTGGGAAATTGCCAGGAAGAAAAAGAAGACTACTAAATGTATGAGCAAATTACATCTTTTCTAACAGATTCCAAATAGATGGTCAAAATTTTTTTGTTTGTCACAGCTCTTTATGCTTATTATACTAGCTTTCCACCCGTAGCTTCTCTAAGAGAAGCTTCTCAGTGTTTCCAAGAGAACCTTTCAAATATCTGGGATAAAAACTATCTTATGTTCTTTCTCAAGGTCAACTCTATATCTGTACCAAATTTCATTAAAATCAGTTCAGTGGTTTAGGCGTGAAAGCTTAACAGACAGACTTACTTTCGCATTTATAATATTAATAGGAATCATAGTTTGTGAGTGAGATACCATAAAGAATACTGCTATTTTATTTTATTTTATTTTTATTTTATTTTGAACGGTTCACACAACAGATTACAACTAAATATGAAATGTAAGAATAGAAATACTGTCCTATCATCTTTTTCATTCTTTGATTGTGTTTGGTAAATATGGATGTTAGATTAATAGATTAATATTCTAAGTAAATTAATCAGTTTATACCTGGTGCGACTCCAAAGAAGCCGTTTTCAGGGTTGATAGCTCGTAAGACTCCGTTGTTATCAAACTTCATCCAGGCAATATCATCTCCCACACACTCCACCTTATACCCAGGCAAGGTTGGGGTCATCATAGCTAGGTTGGTTTTACCACACGCCGATGGAAAAGCAGCGGCTACGTAGCGCTTACGACCTTTTGGGTCTGTTATACCCACGATCTGTAGAAAAGGGCATAATTATTACCATTTATAAGTAATTCCTTATATTATTTTTGAGAGAAACATTATGATTCGTCGCTTTTTATCACCATCGACTAACTAACACATTCACTTAGCAAGATACAGGGTGTTAAATCTAGGTGAATTCATTACAGGTGTAAACAACATTGATCGTAACATAAGACTATACTAATCTAATTATATCTTTACTAAAAAATAAACTATAGATAATAGATATAGACAGATAGATTATAGATAAACTATAGATTTATTAATATTTTTTGTTGATAATCTAATATAATGTCTTACCAGCATATGTTCGGCCAACCATCCTTCACGCCGCGCTAACACAGAACCAAGTCTTAAAGCGAAACATTTCTTTCCAAGAAGACTGTTACCGCCGTAACCACTGCCTATTAATTAAATTAAAAAAAAAATATTATAAAATATATACACATATAGGAAAAAATATTGAAGAAAGTTATTCTTTATGATATCAACAGGGTGAATGTGTTTATATTAAAATTAACAGTATGAAATATGTTAAAGAGATTAAAAATTTTTCATACAAATGAAACATACCCTTTGTGGGTGTTAATACAGATATTTTTTATATCAACTAATATTTTAGGTGGTAGAGCCTAGCTGTGGTTAGTTACTACAGCTCGAACACGGGCTGGCTCGACCGGGGAAGTACCACCCTCTCACAGAAGATCGGCGTGAAGTAGCCTTTAATGGCTGCGTTTCGTCCGATGAGTGAGAGAGCCGGTTGCCCTTTCCCTATTCCCACCCTTTCCTACAATATCCTTATTCCCACCCCTCCCTATCCCTATAAAACAAGGTTGGCAACGCATCCGCAACATCTTTGTTGCGGATGTCAATGGGCGACGGTAACCACCTTCCATCAAGTGGGCCGTCTGCTCGTTTGCCACCTTTGACATAAAAAAAAATAGCTACTAAAAAAATCAATATATGTATTAAATAACTCTTATTACGTATATGGTTTCCTATATAACTACGATATTCAACCAAGTAAATAGTCTAATTTTAAACTACCCTCATATTCTAAACCAATCTCACCGTAGCTGATGATCTCATTGTCTGCTGGTCGGTGCAGAATAATGGTCCTTTGAGGATCACAAGGCCAGCCTCTCGTCTCCAGGCCATCATCTTTACGACCTACCGCGTGGAGACAACGAACAAACTGCTCATCTTTTCGAAGAGCTTCTAGCACTTTATTACCTGGGGAATAAGGTTTAAATTAAAACTTAATTCTATATATATTATGGCTTTGAGATTATAATGCTTACCCATTCTGGTCATGACTCTCATAGAGTATACGACGTATGGTGAGTCAGTGATTTCAACACCGATCTTGGATAGTGGAGAACCGACGGGGCCCATAGAGAACGGAATTACGTACATGGTCCTACCTGTAAACATAGATTATAAGTAAAATCTCATGATATGTTGGATAGTTAAATTATTTTGCAAAACTTAACTAGCCTTTTAATTGTTTATTTATGATTTAGCATACTATTATTGTATTTTCAGATAGACGAGTTTACGTAAAATGTCATAAAAACAAATCTAGTATATGTAAATAGATTCATTTGAATAATCTCTCGCAAATCTTATATAAAAGATATATATTTATTTATTTTATTTTAGAAATACCATCGGCATATTCACAAACTATTTGTGGTAAAAAATATAAAAAAAGAAAACTTGTACAGTGTGATACACCATTACAGGTATTTACATTTTACTGCTTACATGTTAACAAAAGTAACTAAACACTACACTCAAACATTTAATAGTATCAACAACGCTAATATTTTAAATATTAATTACTATGTAACTAAAACAGTATTTATTAAGTTATTTATATTAAGTATTAAGGAGGTAATTTTCAAATATCAATCTACCCACCTCTCATACAGCCCGGAAATCGTTCAGATACAGCCTTATCGTAACCTTCGGGGCTAATATAGTTTCCAAGAGCTGATTTCTGTCCAGCCCTCGCAATAGGCACCACGTCTCTCTCATTTTCAGAACATATGAATGTACGAGACTCAACGCGTGCTACGTCCGCCGGATCCGTGCGTGACAACCAACTAGTATGTTTAAAATACAGTTAATATTTGTTTTTCAATGTTCAAAGTTAAAGTAATATCCTACAAAGCTGAAGCAAGTATTTAGGGTCAAAATCACAATCTTTTATTACTCGTATAATTAGTTATAATAAATCATAAAAACAATTCTAATGATTATGGTATATTATAATTAGTACGGCATAGTTGGCGCCACTTATAAAAACTCATAGTTACAGAAACGAACAGATTTTTATACAACATAACATAAATTTAAAACAGCTCAAGAATGTATAAAAGCATATTAATATCAATTCGAAACAATTATGATCACAATATATTCAGTACAAATATATTGGCAATGAATCTAAGACGTCAAAAACAATAAGTCTTTATAAAACGCTTCAGAGCAATTCATATATTAAATTATCTAACTCCAAGATAACAGCTACGTCTTTAATGGGCATTACAATGATATTTGACCAGTTTCTTATCACCTCATAAAAAAATATTAGCAAAATCTAATATATTGTCCTTCTTATAAAAAGTAAAAGGAGTTCGATTATAAAGCATTTCCAATAGATACTTTCAAAAGTCGTGGATAAAAACTATCTTATGTTCTTTCTCAAGGTCAACTCTATCTTTGTACCAAATTTCATTAAAATCACTTCAGTGGTTTAGGCGTGAAAGCGTAACAAACAGACAGACAGAGTTACTTTCGCATTTATAATATTAGTAGGGATGTGTGTTGATATCAAACCTACCAGTTGTCGTATTTGGGCAGTGGTTTAACAGTTCCTTGCTGCTGCATCAACTGAAGTAACGCTTTACCCTCGGCTTCAGAACCATCGCATATATGGACGTGTTCTGGTTCACAGAGAGAAGCACTGCGCTCCACGAACGCACGGACCTATAAGAATTATTATATACAGGGTGACTGGTGAATTACTATCGATACTTGAGGACGTGATATTTGACGATCACATATGACAAAATAAAAATTAATATAACATAAATATTAATAAACTTCTAAGGAAAGTTAACCAAAAGTTATGTAATTAATTACGCATCGTGTGAACACCCTACAGATTAGGTATACACACACACACATACGCGTGCGTGCGTTCTATTAAAATGTTTCTCTATTGTTCTGCTGACCATACTGAAATTGCTATTTTCATAATCAGAACTTATTCAAATCTTTGAGAAATGTAGTTGTAATAAATTTACTACAACTACATTTATGAAGATTGCAATTTTACTACGGTCAGCGAAACAATAGAGAAATATTTTAGTATGTGATTTTATATTAAAATATAATTAATAGAAATATAATATAAAATATATCAAGTATAAGATGTTCTTGACATATAATCTATGTATATAAAAATGAATCCCTTCCTCCCTTGGTCACGGCATCATCCGTGAATGGCTGGACCGATTTCACTAATTCTTTTTGTGTTGTATTTGTTATTATTAGAAGGTTAGAATGTAAGAAAAAAATTACGAAAATTTCTAGAAAAATCAAATACTAAAATATTTCACTTTTTTAATAAAGAAATTAACTTCATTCAGATAAAACAGTAAGAGATGTTTTTTGATTATAGGGAGTACGAAGTTCGCCGGGTCATCTAGTATCTAGTAGCATATTCTTCTTCTTCTACCTGGCAATTTCCCAGCTATAGCCAGGGTCTGCCTTACATGTTGTGAATAGTTTTTGGCTATTTGTTTTAACGACCGGCCGCCTGCCTGACATCAACCCTTTTTTGGGAATCAACATTAATCAGTGATGTCTAAATACTCTAAGTATCTAGTAGCATATATATATACAGGGTGACTGGTGAATTACTATCAATATTTAAGGAGCATACTCGGTACATGATTCTCATTTGAATTATGTAAAAAAAATAGGCACTTAATTTTTGACAAAATTTCCGTATAAATAAATAAAGTGTTGACACGTTCCAAGTGTTCAAGTGTGGACGCGTGCGGCGACGTGTTGATACAACACCACGTCACGACATGCGTATGTGTGAGTGTCAGTGTATACCTAATCTGTAGGGTGTTCACACGATGCGTAATTAATTACATAACTTTTGGTTAACTTTACTTAGAAGTTTATTAATATTTATGTTATATTAATTTTTATTTTGTCATATATGATCATCAAATATCACGTCCTCAAATATCGATAGTAATTCACCAGTCACCCTGTATATATATATAGATTTTCTTAAAGAATTTCAATAGATTACTAATGATTGCGTACACTACGAAGTTGGCTACATTATTGTTTTTTGTTCCTTACCTTGGGAGTTAAACTCGCTAACTGCGGATTCAACTTGAGGGCGCCTCGTAAAGCAGCCTGGTGGGATGCTCTGCTGCAGGATAACGCGACTTGGGCACATCTGTATAACAAATAATCTTTAATAAAAATACATAAAAATAAAACCACCTGTAAATAAGCTGGAAGATTCTTGATTACACACTTAATGTTACTCGTAAATGGATATGTAGATATGACTATATAGAACTTGGTTTTACTCGTGATATTTTTTATACTATGGAGCCATTCGTACTGAAATCGTGGAATATTCTGAAAATGTCAACGTTTTTATTTGGACGAATTATAATTTTGATTACTGTGTGGAGAAAATACGAAGGAGTTTGTCGAATGTAATAAAGGCTTTTATTATAAATTATTATTATTTTTAAAGAAGAATCACGTTTTATTTTTTGCCATCACCTAGTTGAACTCTTAATAAATATTTTTGTTATTGACATCTGTGTATATTTTTGAAACAGTTTTTTGAAATGTCTTATCATATATTTTGTACATTGCGTTTGATTTAAGCTGAGCTTTGCATTTGTGTGAGTGAAAGTAAAAGTAGAGTTAAACAAAAAAACTTTAGAATTAAATTTTATTATATTTTGAATAGATGCATAAGATAATGGCTATAAAATAAGCAAAACTTTTAAAAGGCCAGATGGAAATATTATGAAGATTATGGAAAAAAATTATTGATTAATAAACATTTTGAAAAAACTATCCAAATTCTTATTCACTTGACATTGCGTTTTCAACATTTGATTTTGCTATCAGTACAAACGGTGAAGTGCGGAAGGTACGAGGCGGAGTACAAGCAGAATAAACCGGTTCAAAACTAGAAAAGAACGTGTCATTAAAAAATTTGACATCTCACCTACACTATCCGTGTACACTCACACAAATGCAAAGCTCAGCTTAAATCAAACGCACTATACCTATCTATAAGTATAAAGCCGTTACACTTTAAAGGTACATATTTGTTAATTTTCATTTGCGTGTTTTATATTAATTTATAAAATTATATTTCTAATTAGGGTTTTTAAATTATTTTTGTATCAAATTAGACTGAAAGAAAAGTTGGAGATATTTTTTAAAAGAAAATTTTCATACGGCTTGTAGAACGTGTTTTAACTTTTACAATGTAATATTTTCATTTAAATGAAGCTAATATTTTTCCGATATACTACGCGACTTTAGTTTAGATAAAAACTACATACTCCGTACATGATCATCTCGTCTGTCCGTGATCACGGTTGCTGTAAAGTAACCGAAACGTCGGGAGTATGTAGTTTTTATCAAAAATAAAATCGCGGAGTATAATCCGAAAAATACTAGTTTCATTTAAATGAATAAGACTCGCGAAAGTCTTAGATCTCGTTAAAAATTTAAAGTTTTTTTCAAAGTGTTTAAAAAAAGCTCGATTTTTTTTCCTAACTCGAATTGGGACTCTCATGAATATTATTTTTGAAGACAAAATAAATTATTTTTAAGTTACTATTCTAGTTACCGTAGATCAATTTTTCTTTTTCTTTTAAAAAATAAAAATATTTTATTATTATTTGTTAAGTAAATGGCTCAATAGTAGAAAACGCTAGTAATGATCATATATTATATGCTAATTAGTTATAATTTTTTATAGTGTCTTGAAGGTATGATAATTATTAATTTGTAATATCTATTAAATACACTTGTACACTTTCACTTTAAATATCCTTGGATGATTAACAAATATGTTGTTTAACTAATAGGTAGATTAATACTTCATACTTAAGATAATTAGTTAATTTGGAGTTTAAAACATAATATTGTCTAAATTTTATCTTTCTTCTTTCAAGAATTTTTTATTATTCAATATTCATACAAATATTTAGAAATATGTACATATATATTAAATATTACATATGTATAATGTATATAAATAAATAAAGTCGATACTCACTTTGCAGTTTTATTCACGTATTCTTCGGGTAGATTGAAATGCAACATTTTTAAAAGTAAAAAATATAATTAAAAAAAATAATAATATTCGATTATCTTATATAAACTTTTCTTAAAAAATTATTTTAAATTTTATCCAAATTACTGAAACTGAACAAAAATATCAGCCACTCGTAAAATTTGATTTTGTCACCCATTTAATGACGTAACAAATTCTAAATACAGAATGTGGCGCCTCAACCGCGCGAACAGTTTATATATCGGGGGAGTGTGAAAATGGCGGCTCGCGATTGGTCGAAATGGCGGGCGCGTCCTGACGTTTACAAGTCTCGCAATATTCTACGTAGAAATATACTTGTTTTTAATGTGTGTGTGTTGTTGAATTGAAATACTGAGCGTTATTTCGTCAGATTCATAATACCAAGGTATGATTGCATCATCTCGAACCTAAAGGTTAAAATAGATAGTAGGTTCATATAGATATAGATAATTTTTAATAAAAGAGACAGAGTTTTTTAAACCAACACCTGCCTCGAAGGTCGACTAGTGATGTCTTTGTTTATAGACCAGGAAGCAAACTTTCATGTACTAGTCAATATCTTTGTGTATTTTATTAATCACATTTATACTATGTAGGAAATAATGTCTTTGTTGCGAATGTACTTTGTTTTAGAGGGAAGGGCTCAATGTACGTAGAAGTATCGTGGCCTTCGTCTTCGATTAGATACAAGAGGCTCCTATTTGTACGTTAGCAATTACTCAAACGAATAGCGTCCGTATTTGTATGATTATAAGGCATATTATTATTTTAATAAATGATGTTGCTTGTTACTAAGTCATTGTGGGGTCAAAAGGAACGGGATATGTCTGATACAATTTGCTGCAAAATACGGAAAATATAAAAACAAAAATAATGATAACAACTAATGAACATCATTTGAAATCAATTCCTATTTATAAACCAAATTACATATTACGATTTTTTTCCACTAACAGCCTAATTGTTCCATTGTTTTCTAAATATTAAAAGTAAACATAATTAATACATATATTGTATCTTCTGGGAAAATTTATGAAGATATAAGTGGTATTAACTAGACAGAGGTCAGCGATAAACGAAATTGCAAGAATTTGTGATATTACTGATCAAAGATCGTTTAAATGAGTTTATAAATAAATATAATAAATACAATAAATCCTCCTTTCACCATTTCAATTATCTGTGCATTTATTAATAATATTTTTTATCTGTTTTGTATCTAGTAAAAAGTTTATATGTGATTTAAGATGGATGTCAGATTGTTGAACAAAGTTATTTTTATTTTGTTATTATACAATTTAATCTTAATATTGACAAAACGTGTTGACACTGGAAGGTTAAGTATATCACATGATTTATAAACAAAAGTGAGCCGAAAAATATTATCATCTTTATCTTATATAGCGCCATCTATCGAGGACTAATTGAACTGCGAATCCTATTAGTTTTTTATTATTGGAATATTTTATTAGAATGGCTTTAATATAGAAGCTAAATTATGTTATAAAGATTATTATTGATATCTCAGATTTTCGCGAGTACTCATTTAAAGGAAACTAATATTTTCGGATTTTGTAGTATGTAGTTTATAATCAAAAATAAAAAATCGCGTAGTATATCCGAAAATATTAGTTTCATTTAAGATTATTATTTCTTTGTTTTCTTTTAGCAATTATATTACAAATAATAGTATTCTAATACCTAGTAAAATATTATATTTTTAATATACCTCGAAGTTAGAAGTTAATTATAATAATAATAAAATTAAAATAGCAATTCATTAATTTCTATTTTTAGTGTTAACATGATGAAACAAGGGGCGTGAAGCCGCGCCTCCAGATCACAGCGAACTTTGAACTTTGATAATGATTAAGCCAGTTACAGAATTATGATTTCATCATTGTTTTACAATTTTTCCACAGCATATCTATAGTTACTAACTCCGAATAAATATCATAGATATCAATCTATCAATAAAATATTTATAGAAACTGTAGATAAAATAGGAAATAGGTATATATACTCACTTTTTCGACAGCCTTCGCAACAGCAGGACCATTTTGAAGTTTATTTTTCAACCGAGACTTAAAAAAAAATCTGTGAATGAAATAATAAAGAAGTTAATAAACAATATTATGTTGCTTTATTATATATTTATATTGTTTTAAATATAGTTATCTCGTCTGAAATGTGCCTTAATACCCAGTTTTATCTGGCGCGAAACTGGTTGAACAGAAGACCTTCAAAACGTGTTATTTTTCCATACATTTGATGTTTTTTAAACGTCTCTGGTTGACTTTAAAATACCTAATATACATAATGATATCCTGATTTATATATTGTTACCTAGGATCCTGGTATTCGATATATATAAATAAGTTAGGCTTAGCTATAGGAATAAATATTGGGTAATCAATAAAATATTTCTACGAAGTATTGTTTTATTAACAGCGCCCTCTATCCATCAGTTAGAGTACTGATGATGCGGTAATTTTTTAGGCATTAAAATATAATTAAAATCTTGAACTTTTTCATATTATTATGTTAAATTATTATTAATAAGAAACATAATTATAACAATGAATATATTTTATTTATAGAGTTGTTTAGGAATTAAGACTAATTCCTTATTATTACAAAATACGAAATCAAAACTTTCGCTAAAACAATCAGTTCGAAAAAGATAAGTTATCAGAATGATATAATTCTTATTAATAACATAAATCAAAGAAGAAAATAAGAAAAAAAAATTAAAATATCTAATTTAATTTAAATTTTACACACATTTTTTATACGATACCAAATCTCCACGTGTAGAATACAAAAAAAAAATAATATAATATGTAAGGAACAGTTGACATTGCAATTGAATATCAAATTTTTCATGTTATTCAATAAATCACATGTTTTTAATCATTGATCAAAATGTATTTGTTCGAATGACGCGTGACTATCGTCGAAAACAAATCAATAATAATATTACAATCTGCGTATGTACGAGCGTACAAACAGAAAGTCTAAACTAATACGTCATTATAACTAAAGATTTGTTGACAAATAAACTTTAATAATAGGACTTTTAACAATTAAGATGTGAGTGAAAACGTTCTAACTGACCGTTTTTCTAATACACTCCTGTACACGTACTTAGTCTATCGTCACTATATATAAAGCGTGAACATTAAAAATAATATATACAATCTTTTTTTATACGTGACTTGCGATTGGATAATTAGTGGTGGCCTAGTGGTTAAAAAGGCCCGCCTCTCATGTATGAGGGCGCGGGTTCGATCCTGACAAGTACCAATGCGATTTTTCCGATTCATATGTACTTTCTAAGAGTATTTCGACATCACTGATTAATGCATTCCCAAAGAGGGTTGATATCATGCAAGCGGCCGGTCGTAGAAACAATTAGCCAAAACTATTCACAACATATAAGACAGACCCTGGCTAAAGCTTGGAAATTGCCAGGTAGAAGAGAAAGATACGAGTAAAGATAAAGCATTTAGTTAGTCTACAATAATGTCACAGACAAATACAATGAATTATAAACATATTAAATAACAATCTACAAACAAAAATAGACCTTATCAAAGTTGATTATAAAGTTGTTATTGTAATTTTCAATTCAAATGTTATCATAGAATTGGGAATACAAATGTATTTCATAGACCGTATGACCTTCACGACTGATAGCCTGCTTGTAATCCACTTAAAAATTGTAAAACCTTGAACACATGAAGTAGTAATAAAATACTACTACAGTATTCTAGGAGTCCGCTTCCGCCTTAATTCACACAATATAATATAAAATTTAAACAGATTAAAAAAATATATATCAAAGATTTTAGGCGGGAATTTCCAAAAAGTATTTAATGGTTTTCAAGAATTCGTTTTATAATTGCGATAAATATTATCTATGTCGCAGAGTAATTATCATTCAGCGGTATCGCCACCATCGAAAGTTAGGTCAGATATAAATAGCACATTATCATTTAATATTTAAGGTGAAAACAAAATCATCCTACGTTTTTTAAGGATGATTAAAGTAAGGTAAAGAGGAGCTTGGACGGTGGAGGTGAGAATTTAACGCGCGTTAGATAGTGTCCCTTAAACCTACACCTGGGTCACAAGTCACAGTCACTGTTGAAGCTCCTCTCACTACAACGATGGACCCGACACACGCACTGTGAATACATTGAATGATGAGAGGTTTCGTCTCTTAAAGAAGCATAAAATGATCAGTGAATGAATAAGCAAGAAAAAAGAGTTATTGGTTCGTAAAAAAATATTTTATTTCATTCATATTCCGGTAATGAAAATAAAAAAGCCATATCAATACTTTGAATCGTCATGTTGTTAATTAAAATTAAAACTATGAATGAAAAACTAGTGACTTTCAGTATGTTATTTCTTATTTGAAGTATCGAACTTGTATTAAGGGTAAAATTAAATGATACACATATCAGAATAAACGAGCAAGGAATCGTGTAGAATTTCTTTAAAAACTTAATTTATTGAATATATCTAAATACACGTAATAATAATTTTTATATAGACGAATAAATTCATATATATATTTTACCTCGACTTGTCACAATATATCGTCTCTTTAGTTTATTTTCATTTGATTGTTTGTTATTTAATAATTTAGATTTTTAATATTTATTTAAATCAAAATACGGTAATAAAATTTAAGGTTAGTCGTCTTTACGCGTAATTTTTAATTTTGACACAAAAATCAAGTATAACACAATCCATTAATACATTACCTTTCTTCTTAATAAACATACTATAAGTTAGCCGAAACTATTCACAATATGTAAGGCAGACCCTGGCTAAAGCTGGGAAATTGCTGGATAGAAGAAGAAGAACTATGTTATTAAATAAATAAAAGATACCGAATTAACAATTTCTTATACTTTTAAGAAATATATTTTTATATAATTATTTGTTTGTTCTTTTATTAATAAAATAATATATCTGTGAAATTCGAGCCACAAAG